GTCTTGAGGGTAAGTGACTGCCATGGGATCCATAAAGAATATTCTAGAACAGTGGTTTTCAACCTTCCTAATGCTGTGACCCTTCAATAACAGTTCATGTTTCAGTGACCTCCAACCATGAAATCATTTTCGTTGCCAAAATACCTGATATGCAACCTCTATGGCAGGGTCAACTGACCCCCCCCAGGGGTCATGACCTACCGGTTGAGAACTGCTGTTCTAGACTACCGTGACAGCTACTATGAGGTTCCCAGGCTCCACCGCCGCCCCTCCCTTCACTTCTGCCTTTGGTTAGCAACATCCGGGTCAGCAGCGCTGTCCTGCTGGAGGGGACCAGAGGGGACCGACCACCTGCCATGAGCGCAGGACACTGATGTCTAAAAAGCTGCCATGCAGGTCACCACAGCCCAAGGCAAGGGATCGAGGCAGGCGGGAAAGAAGTTATGTTCTCCCTGCAGGCTTCGGATCTGCTGAGGAAGATGTGCATGAGGAACCTCGTTCGGAAATACTGCCGGGGAGTCTCCGCTGAGAGGAGAGTCATGGTAGGGTGGAGACACGGGGCATCATGGCATCTGCATGTCGTTGTCGTGCAAGTTAGATTCTTAGTTCTAAAGTCGACTTTGACTGTCTACCTATGAGCCACACTATTGCCACGGCTTATAGAGGAGTTGAGAAACATCAGCAGCTACAGTTAGCGTCCCTGTGTTACCATGGGGACAGAATCCAGATGACCCGTGCCTGGCAAGGCAGGAATGCCTGTGCGGGAAGACTCTTACCCTGCGGTCTGTTCTGTGGGGCTACAGAGCCGACTTTTGAGGCTTTCTGGGCCATATGCCCGGTTGTTTCTCTTTCTTGTTATAGCGGGAAGCAGTCACAGACATGTATTTATAAACGCCGTAGCTGTGTCCCAATAAAGCTTTATTTACAAACACATGCAGCCTGCCACAAGCTGCCTCTGGGCTGGAGTTGCAGAGTTCTGGTTTAGGAGAGAGATGCTCCCTGTTTCAGGGTTTCTATTGCGTGAAGAGGCACCATGCACAGCAACTCTTCTTACGAAAGTATCTAGTTGGGGTGACTGGCATTTTCAGAGGTTTAGTTCACAGTCACCGTGGTGTGACATGGTGGTGTGCAGGCAGGCGTGGTGCAGGAGCAACGGGAGGTGGTCTGTCACTGGGTGTGGCTTGAGCATATGTCCACCTCCAGTGACACACTTCTCCAACAGAGCCACACCTCCTAATAGTGCCACGCCCTTTGGGGGGCATTTTCTTTCAAACCACCACACCCCCTGAAGCTCTGAAACCTCCACCCTGAGAAACCAGTGGAAGCTGTAGGGTATCTGTAACAAGGCTCCTGTCTGAAGACAGCCCAGGACCGACTACTCTACGCTCCGAACTATCTGTTTCCAGATGCAGCAAAAGGTGGTTACGAGTGACCTGTTCAAGGGGAAGAAGGAAGGGTACGCAGACAGCTTACACCAACCTTTTGCCTGCAGCCGGCTGGGTAAGTGTGCTTTCCACTTTCCGGGAACGTCCTGGGAGGCCTCAGCAGGGAGCACACCCCCACGGGGCTGGTGATGGCTACTGTCCTGGCTCCTTCCCCAGGTGAAGGCCACATAAACCCCAAAGTACTCCAACTGCTCAGCAGCGAGAAGATCCAGGTACAGCAACCTTGTGTGTGGTCTCCACCAGGACACGTATGTCTGAGGCCAGGACCTTCCCGTGTTCCTCCCGTGGGTGTTTAGACACGCTGCTCACACACAGGGGTGCAGCTGGGTTCGCTGGGGCTCCCCACGGCATGCTGGGCACTGAGCATGGCCGACAGAAGCCTGTCGCTCACTCCTGCCATCCCCCAAACCATCGTGGCTTGCTTTTCTGTGAACCCTGAGAGCTAGCCAGGGCCTTGTCTGTCAGCACAGCCACCAGGAGTTCCCAGGCGGGTTACCCAATCATATATGTGGCTTTTGTGGGGTGGCTGGTGTGAGGCCATCTGTCTGATGGCCTCTCTCACCTGCTCGGTTGTAGACAAAAGCGGGGGGGGGGGGTAGGGGGTGGAGGGGAGGGAAGGGAGATTCCCGTCTGTGAAAACTCAGGCGCCGTGAATGCCCCTCTCTCTGCTGGCCTCTCAGAGCCTCGGTTTCCTCAGAGGAAGGTAGGACTCAGAATTGTAATCTTCCAGAACCGGGGCACCAAAGCAAAAGCCTTACTACAAAAGCTGAGCCGGTGCCACTGGGTCCCAGGAGGAGGGGCTCTGTCCCCTGCCCGCGGGTGATACAGCCTTCCCTTCCTGGTGACACTAACTGCCTTGCAGTATGGCGCCCCAGTCATCAAGTATGATAGGAAAGGCTTCAAGGCGCGCCCGCGGCAACTCCTCCTCACTCAGCGGGCAGCATACGTGGTAGAACTGTCCAGAATCAAGCAGAAGATTGAGTACTCGGCCCTGAGAGGTGGGTGAGCGTCTGATGTCTCTCGTGTCCTGGGATTAGTGGCTCACTGACTCTGGGGTTCAGTGGGTGTACCTATCTCTGACCCCCTGCACCCCGAGTGCTGGGTGACAGATGCTCACTGACTCTGGGGTTCAGTGGGTGTGCCTATCTCTGACCCCTGCACCCCGAGTGCTGGGTGACAGATGCTCACTGACTCTGGGGTTCAGTGGGTGTACCTATCTCTGACCCCCTGCACCCCGAGTGCTGGGGTGACAGATGCCCTCCCTCGCGGTGTCTCCCTTTTATGTGGTTCCTGGGTATCGAACCCAGGTCCTCATGCCTGGCCATCTCCCCAGGCCCCTTTATTAATGCCAGAATTCTGGATCTACCTTTCAGGTGTTTCCACCAGCAGCCTGAGCGACGGAATACTGGTCATTCACGTTTCACCAGGGGACAAGGTACAGCACAAGGTACCTGTGGCTCCCGGCCTCTGCTGGCACGGGAACAAGCTGCTGTGGCTGGAATTAAGTTGGAACCTGTAAGACCCTCCATATTCAAGCCAGTCACCCTGAACCTGCCCTGTCACCGGTCTCCGCAGGGGGACGTCATCCTACAGTGTGAGCACGTATTTGAGGTGGCCACTAAACTGGCTATGCTGATTAAGAAGGAACACGCCATCCGAGTTGTTCAAGGAAGGTAGGGGCTTACTCACTGTGTGCCCCCCCCCCTAACGGGGACCGGGGGTCTCCACACGCCTGCTGCCTCTGTAGTGGCCCCTTAGCTGCTTGAGTCCCCAGCAAGGCCAGCTGAGGTCGGGCTACCCAGTATGCCCGAGGCGACCCCAGTGAGGCTGTGTAGACTGAAACTCACGCCGGGTCGCACTGTCCTCTACCCCGAGCTTTTATAGTCTGAAGGGTGAATCTGCAGGCAGAGAAGAGAGCGGGTGTGTGGTAAGGTGCACAGGCTCTGACAGAACGCAGATGAGGCCTTGGGCAGCTGCGAGCTTCCGCAGACACCACGCAGGCCGCCATTTATGCATCACACGGCCCTCTAGAGAGCCCGATGCTGATCTGACCTGAGAGTGGCCACAGAAGCTTGTGAGGGCCCGCCCAATCCTGAGAACATCCTGATTGGCCACATACGCAGGATTCAAGAGTCAGCTAGGATGGGTTCCCAGGGGAGTTTCTTTCGAAGACTAGAAAGCATGCCGGTAATTTGTCACTCGCCATGTTTTAAGTTTGCAGTTTTACATCAGTCCTGGGAAAGAAGGCACAATAGTTTTTGAGACTGGAGTGGAAGAGCAAGTGTATAAGGGTAAAAACGGACAGTTAAGAGTGGTGAGTGGCTGCGTGGGAGGGAGGGAGGAAGGGAGGGAGGGAGGGAGGGAGGGAGGGAGGGGTGCTCGCTGGAGGCTATGTATATGCACAGAAGTAATAAAAGAGATTTCATCTTCCCCTCCAGTCCCGGTTGGTACCCTGGGAGGAAGGCACATAGTGACCCTTGAAATAGTGACTCAGGAGTGAGGGAGATGGGGCGGCCAGAGGCTCCCGCCACACAGCTGCTCACACAAGCCTCGCTAGTGTGCTCAGGGGCCACCCTGACATGGAGGAGCTCTGGGGGCTGGGCTCCCACACACTGGTCACAAGCTCCTCCGTCTTTCCGGGCTGTTTTTCGGTGCTGGAAGGAAAACACGTGTTGAAAGCAGATGGGGGTGGGAATCTATGAAATGCTTTTTCTCAGGAAACCGGTTTGCAGGTATCAATAGTTCACACGTGCCTTTCACAACACAGTGGCCCCCACCCGTCAGGGACAAGTGAAATGTTTTAGTGACCTGAGGTGCTGTCAGGGCTCTGCGGCCACAGCCCTCCCTTCTCTGTGCCTCCCCAAGGCTGAAGATGCACTCACGGGTCTCTCTGCATTACCCACTCTCTAACCTGGCTGCTCCTTATGAGCCAGAAGGGGCCCCTGGTGGCAGCTTCCTCCCCAGGGATGAGGCTCTAAAGCCAGGCGTCCCTCTCCTCAGGTGTCCGCAAGTAAGAAGACCTGACAGGATGACCTTTGCCCTCCACCGTCACTATTTCTGCTCCAACTGAGCAACCTTATCCACTTAGCTACATCTTTAAGGAAAGTGCCAGCAGCTTCTGGAGCCTGGACTGCATCAGCAGAGCCTGTGCTACTGCAAAGCCAGACCTCAGCTGCTTGGGTGCTGGGTGGCACTGCATCCAGATGTTTCCTGGGAGTCAAGCTTGAGTCACCCACCTGTCCCCAGAAGAACCCGATTCAGGTACAGCAGGAAGTTACTGTAGGTGGGTGGCAGACTTTGCACCTCCGCCCAGCTGCTGAGACGGGAGCGAAGGAACTCACGGTGACACACAAGTTAATTCTGCTGTAAATGACACTGCCTTGCTGCCAGGGCCAGGGCCAGGTTCCCACAGGCGCTTTAGGTCCTAGGGGGCAATTACGCCCGCCCTGATGCACAGCGAACAACTCGGCGCTGAAGGAGGAGTTAGGGCCTGGCTCTCTGCTGGTGTCAGCAGCCCTGCAGTCAGGTGTTCCGGAAAAGACCAGAAGGCAGATGTGAGTAGAAGCACAGTTGAACGTTTATTTCACATGTGTCCACAGACACTTGTACAACAGTGAGCACGTCTAAACTCCCAACATTGATTGCACAGTGCAGACAGGAGGTTAGGGATGTGCTAAGGTGACCAGTGAGTTTGGGTGGAGCCCTCTGGCCCGTATGCACCCTTGGGGGAGGGCTGAGTACCAGCAGTGAGCAGCAGGTACGGAGCCTGCACCTAAGTGGGACCAAACAGCCCTTCTTCCATAGGACCTGCGGGGTGTGGGCCCCAGTCACCACAAACACTGAATTTGGTTACCATGGACAGAAGCTATTCCAATTCATTTTAATCGTGAGCCCTTAGTGTGCAATACAACTCCACTCTTTACAGACCCCAGACCAGTGACTCACTGGATGCCTCTGAACTGGAAACACTTCATACTAGCCCAGGAGATCTAGAAGCAGAGCTCTGGGACAACAGGCACTGGGTCAGGCCCTAGTTAGTGGACAAGCTGCCAGCGGTTTCGGGCACCATGGAATGTTTGCCAGGCCTGGCCCCATCCCTGGGAGTGGAGGTGCAAAGCAGCAGGCACAGGCTTGAGGGAAGAGGAAGGCAGGGAGAGCTGCCAAAACAGCCACCGTAAGGCGCAGGGGCCACGGCAAGTCAGCTGGGCCACCAGCTCATTCTGCACGCCGACATTTAAACAGTGTGGGTGGACAGCGGCTTCTACATTCCCACAGAAAACACCAGGATTCAACATCCACTTTTACTCCCTAGGAAAGCTGAACCCACAGGGCAGGGCTGACATTTGAAACAGACAGTATAAAAACTCATAAAACATGATCTGTAAGCTCCCTTTCTTGGCTTGTAATACAAAAGTTTTGCCACGCCACTGTGTAAAAAGCATCTCCCCGGTACACGGTTCCTCGATCCAGTCGGGATGGTTTGTTTATTGTTGGCTTTGCTGCCAGATACAAGAGAAAGGTAGGTATAGGACTGTCTGTCACACACAGAGAGAGCTGTAAAAACCGTCACAAAATAGAAACTTTAGAAACACATCAGAGATTAGCCACTTCATACCTTTGGTCTAAAAAGTAACAATCCTTCATCAAGCACTCGCCTTACCTGTAACTAGTGCGCCCACAACCCATATGCACAGGCGCGGGAGGGAGGGACCAGAAGTAGCTGGCATGTCCCCCTCAAGCACCTGTGCCCCACAGTCACACGTCCCCACAACAGTCACCCACATGCTCCAACACAAACAGGACTCAAAGGTATCTGCACACCACCGTACTCTGCAGAGAAATAAAGGCTGAAGGGAGCTAAGGAGAGAGCGGGAAACGCCCTGAGACAGTCTGCAAAGCTGCTAGTGGCCCGTGTCTGGGCCCACACAGCTCCTAGCCAAGGGCAAGGCACCTACTGGAGAGGAGAGGAGGCCTCGCAGGGAGCAGTCTGGAGCAGTGGCTGCAAGCGCTCAGATGACCTGGGATGGGGTGTGTCGGGAAGGACACAGAGGACAGCACACAAGGTCCCCCGTCCACTACTACAAGCTGAAACTAGTGACCAATGAGGACAAGAACAAAACCGTATCAGAAACACGGGCCAGGCTGCTCCCAGGCATCTTGGTCGGCCTCTCAGAACTATCAAATGAGCCCTTGAAGGAGTGTCACTTAAGAAACCCAATAGGTAGTCAACACCCATAACAATAAATACTGCAACAAAGACTCTCGCATACACGCCAAACTCACTCACACTTTTCCCCCAGGAGCAGAGAAAGCCCGGCTCTGGGCAGAGCCCTTAGACAAGCTTGTTCAGAAGCAATCCACCTTGTCAAAAATATCAAAAGAATCATCTGGCTTGTTACAAAAGTGTCTCCAGACTCCAGGGGAAGTGGGAGGTACCCCGAAGCCTGCACAGGGTCTGAGGGGGGCAGGGGCGGAGAGCGGGTGGAGGGCAGCTGTGGCCTGCTCACTGGTGGAGGTGGGCCCGGTCATCTGGGCGCTTGATGTGGATCCTCCGTACTCTCTCAATCCGCTCCCGCTCCTCGTCCTCGTCCAGGTGATGGGAGCGCCCCGCCGCCCCGCCTGTGGCTTCCAGGAGCGCGTTGTCAGGTCCTCGGCCGTCCTGGGCCTCATACAGCAAAATGTTCAGGGTTTCCTCGTAAATGCGGGCTTCGGGGAACTCAACCTGTGCTCCAAGGAGACAGTGGGTACATTAGCAGGCTGCACACGGCCACCGCCTCACACTGTGTTCCAGCAGGGTCATCAGGCTGGCAATGAGGATTGTCACAGGGGAGCAGTGCCACAGTCTGGGGTCACCCCTTTGTCTACCACTGTCTTACACAGGAGCCTCTAGCAGATTCATGGCTGCTCAGGTGACGCCGTCCTTCCTGGTGGAGGGCTGTGGTCTGAGAAGGCTGAGCTGCTTGTTCTCAGACATAGGCCTAGACAGGGAAGACAGTAGCAGCTGGCAAAAGCAAAGCTCCAGCTTTTGAGCAACGGAAACAGAGTCCACGACGATGAAGCTCCTCGGGAACCGTGAAGGAAGGAGGAGCCTCGGAAACTAGGAGCAGGACCTGCTGCTCCTCACACAGACAGACTGGCCACACACAGCAGGCATGAGAGGCCGAGGCTGGGAAATCCAATTGCCACTGGAACCCCATGCACAGGGCTGGTTGGAGCTTGTGGCCTGAATCCCACAGTAGCAATTGCCAGCAAAACCAAAACAACCTATACTGGGGCCCATGAGATGGCTCAGCAGGTAAAGGCGCCAAGACTAACAACCTGCGTTCAATTCCCAGGACCCACATGTGGTAGAAGAGAGCTAACACCCATAAGCTGCTCTCTGACCTTTATCCACATGCCAAGGAGAAGGAGGAAGAGAAGACAGAATATTAAAAATAGAAACACAGTTCCCTAGGAACTGGACAAGACCTGGCGTCCTACAACTGGACACGGTTCTAAATTCCTCAGGCCTGTGAGGAAGCAAGACAACCTCAATCTATGGGAACACTCGCTCAACAGATGCTAAGAGGCCACAAGATGCCAGTCACCGACAAACGCCTCAAAGCAACTGTTTCAAATCAAAGCAGCAGCCAGCAAGAGGAGGAGACCGGGAAGTGAACGCGCTCGCTCACAGACCTGAAATACAACAGCCCACAGCCAGGCTGGCGACAGCTCATCACAGGAAGAGCGCATGGAAGCCACACAGTTGCTTCAGTGACATGAAGGGAAACAAAGCCCTGCCGGATTACCATCTACTCTGCAATGCAAGGGTTAGGGGCCCGACTAAAGGCTGCGCAGGGCCAAGTGAGGAGACACTCGTGTATGGGCCCCGCAGCGCAATGTCTGGGGACCAGGAGGGGCTGTTATCACTCAGGAGCAGCCCTGCTGCCCCCAACTAAGTGGGACACCAAGGCCTTGGGCCCCAGAGGAGCCAGGGAGAGAAGGGGCCCTGACCCTGACCTGAGGCTTCCTCCTGGGGACTTCTGCTTGTCTGAGACAGCTTGGGCTCTAGGCAGGTACCTGCTGAATCGCTTCATTCCCCATTAAGCTCTAAGTGAGAACTGGGAACGCTGAAGATCTTACTGGGAGGGTGCCGCAGCTTGCAGTGAGCAGGTGGCTCTGGCTCCTGGCCATGTTTCAGAGAAAGAGCCTCCGCACTCGCCCCTGGGCTACCTCAGAAGCAATCTCCACCTGCTCAGTCAGCCCTGTGCAGGGAGGTGCAGGGCACAAGGGGGGCCACTGTCAGTGGGTGGTGGCCATGATGCTGGGTGCTGTGACTTCAATGTTTCATCATCAATTAAAGGACCCCGCATGTCTGAGCTGTTTCTGTGTCACAAGTGTCCTGCCAGCTCTGGGGCCTCAGAGCCACGCCTCCCAAAGCTGCAGGGGTGACGGGGACCCGATGCAGTGACTGACGACTGAACACGGGCAACTAGAGCCGTGGCAATCTGCTTTTGCACAATCAATGTCACAGGTCATCAGAAAGCGGTGACAGAGTGCACACAGTAAGCAGAAGGGGAGAGGAAGGAGGGAGGCCGCGCACGCACTCCCTAATGCGCAAAGCAGCCTAGAGTGTGCAGCCTGACAGCCAGCCGGGCTCCAGCAGCGCTCCGCTATAGACCCAGCTTTGCAGGGCACCTCAGCAAGAGGCACAGACACTGCCGGCTTCAGATAAGCATGCAAAGACAAACCAATACTCAGTGAGGAGTGGCTGGAAAGGTGACCTGTGGGAGGCTGGAGGGCGCTCTTCCCACACACCTGAATTTGGGTGCCAGGATCCACGCCAGGTGGCTCACAGCCATCTGTAACTCTAGTTCGAGGGAATCCAACACACCTGCACTCACATGCACATACCCACATGCAGATAGATACACCTACAGGTGATTGATAATTTAAAAAGGAATGGCCCGTGGGACCTAGGTCAGCAGACAAGAGGGCAGGGTGGGCAGCCAGGGGCAGCTTGAGGGGTCAGCAGTGCCACCTGAGCCTTGACAGAGCCATCCGAAGGGTGCACGTGGGTGCAGGAACAAACCTGAGTACTGGGGGAACGTGGCCATACCTGCTTGCCCAGTCTCAGCAGGAACCACCCTCCTTCCTGAGACCTACAGGCCGGCCCCAGCCCAGTGGGGGGCGCGTATGTGTGAGCAAGCACTTAGGGCCATCCACACAGCTCTTACCTTGGTCTGCTTCTTCTCGGTGGCATAGACGATGGATGTACAACAGACTTCTGCAATTTTTCGGCCCTGGCCGTAAAAGGACCAGCAGCAAATTTCATCCCCAATGACGTCCTTTATGAATAGGACCCTCCCGTTAAAGCGCAGGGAGAGTTTATCAAAGAGCTCGATATTCTTCAGCATATTGTCGTCAGAATTGCTGCAAAGAACGTTCAGTGAGGAGAGCATTAGGCTGCAGCCCTGCAGGCGTCGGCCCAGCATGTGTCTGCACAGGCCTCCCTCGTTTCCCCTCTTTATTTCTCCTTAGTGAGCTTTTCAGAGAAAGACACTGCAGTACCCGCTGCCGGAGGAGGGGGAAGGAAGCCCGAAGACCGCCAAGTCCCTAAGTGTACAAACGGCAGAGCTGGGTCTCAGAAGACAGTTGTGGCCTGACGGCTGTGCTCACAACCCAGGGTTGCAAGCCTGCCCTACACAGGCCTAAGCAGATTACCGAATGCAGCACCTCTGGGCACAGGCTACCGAGCCTGCCCTACCTTCTCTGCCCAGCCTCACGAAGTACATGACAGCAGAGCCTAAGGAAGACTTTGTTTTGTTTTTGTTTGAGACAGGGTAGCCCTGGGTGTCTCGGAACTCAGAGATCCGCCTGCCTCTGACTCCCTGTGCTGGGATTAAAGGCGTGCACCAACCACCCAGCCCAAGGAAGACTCTTCATTAAATCCCCATATCTCTCAAGTCGCTCATTTCCAGAGTGTGTCCCCAAGACCAAGGGACTCTAGAAACACCAGTCAGTTGCTGGAGGCATTGCTCAAACAGTAGAATCCCCAGTGACTGAACAAGTTATAAATGACCAGCAGCCAGAAGTCCCCAACACCTAAGTCCAGGAAACACTAAACTTAAATTTCCAGCAGCATCATTCATAATAGTCAGAGGCTGCAAACCACCCAATGCCCATGCACACTGTGAGGAAATAAAGGGTGGCAGTTTGTCCTAAAGGGGAACGATGGCGCTACAGTGCATGGACCCTGAAAACTTTACATTAAGTGCAAAGACTGGTCACAAAATCATGAAGTGTTTGAAACAGGCAAATTTACAGAGACAGAAACGTAGGCTAACAGCTGCCCGAGACAGGGAAGACTGACTGCTAGCAGAGTGAAAAAAAAATGCCCTAATGCTACAAAGTACTAGTGGCTGCACACTGTGGATCTGTCAAATCCACTCAGCTGTACAGCTTAAAAGGTGAATTGTGTGGCGTGGGGGATCCCACCCGAAGTTCCCTCTACCTACCCATCTGTCTACCCACTAAGGCAGAGGGTCCTTCTGGTGTGAAAGGGACACAGGCAGACTGCTGGCTGGCGCTTACCTGGTGTAGGAGTATTTGTTGTTACTTCTGTTGTAGAGCAGCTTCACGGCTGGCTGAGGGTGGGTTAAAGAGAGTCACTAGATTGGCCCGCAGGGCACACTGACTTCCCAAGGGGCTGTGGGCACAGGCTTGCAGAGCTTACAGGACGAGGGTTGCTGCAGGCTCCAGGGGCAGGGTAACAGGAGATGGGGCTCCCCACTCGGAACCTGGCCTTTATCTCGAAACACAAGCACTGCCAGCCCCCACCCCCGCCTCTGAGTCTGGACAATCACCCTCCCCACCCCCCCCAGACAAGCTCCCAAGTCTCTACACACCTTATTTGAAGTTGCTATAAGTCTCTGTTCTTCCTTGGAGGAGGTGATGACAGGAACTTTGCAGAAGGGTTCGTATGTATCTTTGTTCTGCTGGAACAAGACATGCTTTCAGCTTGGGGTCTGCCTGGCACACAGCTGTTTAAGCCGGCCAGCCAGGAAGCCAAGCCCTGAGTAGACAGACAGTCATGGCGGGAGGAGAGGAAGACACTCTGCACCTGATAATCAGGAAGGGTTCGATTAGGGCAGGAGTCTGCTGTTTACGGCTGTGGTAGGCCTGACTGCCCAGAAAGTACAAGGGTGGAGCAGCTCTCTGTGCCCAGGAAGCCCTCAGTACGGCAGCAGCAGCATCAAAACCCCCTACAACTCACTATGATGACGGCAGCAGAATGAAGAGAGAGTGGGAGAAGTCAGAAGACAAATCGCGTGGCGGGTTGAGCTGGCAAGCAGAGTCCAGCTGAGACAGGAGGGAGCCAGAGGCAAAGCTCCCGTGAGGGCGAAAGGAGCCTGACAGCCCTGGGGACACTGCAGGCTGGGCGGGGTGAGGGCAGAGCCAGCTCGGTCAGCCGCAGAAAGGCCCACAACCCTGCAGTGACGGCAGAGGTGCGTTACTGTTACTGCTCTAACAATGCAACCCCCCGAAGTCGGCCAGCCCGAGGACTTTCAGCCATGCTAACACCCCACACACACAAAAGGCGTTCTAATGTGAGTCGCTAGGCAGCCTGGGCTGGCTCAAACTGGTGATCCTCCTGCCTCTGCCTTCTGCGTGCCCGGCTTTCAGGCACTGCACAGCCGGCAGTGCAGAGGTCCTCACCAGGCAGCACCTCCCCCAGGCTCCCAGTGAAGGAAGTCAGTCTATTACCCAGCCATGAAGGCCCGGAAGACTGGGACTCCCAACCCCACACACGTAGCTTTCCCTGGGGCCTCAACAGAAGCTAAGGACCATCCAATTATGTATGGGAGGCAACAGGAACAGCACAGGTACAAGGGAGAGGCCCACTGACAGACGTCAAGGACAAACGGACGGGGGGGGGGGGGGGGACACGGGGCAAGTCCTGGAGGTTGGACCTCAGAGCTGCAGACAGAGAAGCCAGAGGACATGTCCAGACACAAAGGTGACACAGAGGATCGTGGAGACATCTGGACAGTCCAGCATGAGACTGGCCCTCCTATCTGTGAACCTGGGGATCAAGTAGGGACAGAAATGCAATTAGAAATCAAGCAAACAAAATGCCCCGGGGGCACAGCAAGATTGACAATGACAGGGTGAACTAGGACACTGTCTAACCCAAAGCTGGCATTAAACTCTTCTTCAAGAAGGAACATGCAAGCTTGGTGGAGGGAAGGGAATATGCAAGGACCTAAGTCCTGCAGGTCACATCTAAAGCTAAGAATAGATAGGAGCAGAGAGCCTGCCCGGGGAAGGGGTTTGGAGGCAGGAAGGCTATGGTGGCATGAGCTGTCAATCACCTAGTGCTGCCGTACTTCTTGCATGATGCGCCTGCGCAATGTCAATAACCCTAAGAGTGAACCCAGTGAGATTTGTAACATTTACAAGGGCTCACAGGCAAGAGATGCGTGTGGCAAGGCCACTACCCTGAACTGACAATGAATAATGTTCCAGTGAGGGCTAGACACAGCTCCAAGGCTCAGGGACCTTCTGAGGCTCCAAAGCAAAAAGCTACCAAATATGGGTGCTCTGTGGACTTGGCCCTCACTGGTCCTGCTTCAGGGAGTGTGTCTGGAGGTTTTTCTGGATTTCCAACAATGACACATGTGAAGAGTCAGTCTCAGGGTGGAGCCAGAAGGATTTCAATCTACATGAGATGACGCAACTGCACAGGTCCTAAGGTAAAGATCTGAGCACAAAGCGTTCTGAAGCACCGTCAAACAGGCCCTAGACCACAGCATCCCAGGTGGGATGTACAAACGACCACATCCGGGTGATGGGGATGGTTCCCTGATGGCTGTCTCCCAGTGTCTCAATGGGCAGGGCCCATTTGCAGGGGGAAGGGAAGGTGGCAGATGTGTGGGACACACAGAAGGGAGGGGCCTACTTGTAGGGCCGCCTGGCACTCCTCTAGCAGGCCCTGCACCAGGTAGTACTTGGCCTCTGCCAGCAGCTCCTCAATCTCCCGGCGGCTCTCAGGCAAGGGCACAGCCCCATCTCGAAGATAGTTGAGTATCGTCCCGAAGTGCTTCCCACAGCGGTCGATGAGGATCCAGCCTGCAGTGGGGGGACAGGGTGACTTTTCAGGGGAAGTGAGCACTATGGCCGGGCACAACCCCACCCCCAGACTCCCGTGGTTGCCAGCCCCATGAGATCCCAGGACAGCTAAAGCCTGAAAATGTGCTCTGAAGGAGCTGGCAAATACCTGAGAAACCCAACACCCCCCACCCCCACACCTCCCCCAGGACGCCAGCAGCAGAGCCAATCCACCAGACACCCGGACTGGGCCTTCCGGCGGCAGACACCAGACACCGGACTGTGACTTCCGTGACTTCCGGCGGCAGACACCCATCCATGACTTCACACAGTGAGCACTGCTGGGCAGCAACAGAGCAACAGAGTGCAAAGGGCTCAGACGTGAGCCTTCCCCTGCGTGTGCAACTGTGCCACCTTCTGGCCAGCACCAGCGTGAGGGCAAGGGCCTAGGCTAACCCTCTGCCAGCTAGCCAGTGTCCTTCCCCATTGTCAATGGCTTTCTCCTGAAATGTGACCTCTCTGGAAGGTGTTCAGACGACGCCAGGCCTGGAGCCTGGTGACGAAAGTAACAAAAAGAGGTATAAAGGGTGAATACCGCAATCTCTCACGACAGCATGGAAAAGACTCAGAAGCGGTGAGGGTGGAGGTGGGGGGCGCCTGGCAAGATGGCTCAGCAGTGAACAGCACTGACTGTTCATCTAAAGGACCCGGGTTCAATTCCCAGCACCACATGAAGTTCCCAACCATCCGTCACCCTGTCTCAGCATCAATACCCTCTGACTTCTCAGGGCACAGAGCACTCGTGCTACACAGATACACATGCAGGCAAAACATCTGTGCACATAAAACAAACAAAAATAAAAACGGAAGAGCCAGCTGGGTAAGCCAGCTCACACAGTTCTGCAGGCATGGGACTTGGTCACGCCTGCTGATCAGTGCACAGTGGGAAAGGGCAGGAAAAGAACCTTTCTCATCTGTCAGTCACACACGTGGCCACCTCACTCTGCTATCCCCAGCCTCTGCCGATGGCTTCTTGTGGTTTTGGTGCTGACCGAGACCTTTGTACCCTGACAAGGCCAGCCCCATGCTCCTCTCCTGGGCCTCCTCACACGGCTGTCCCCGGACCCTCTGCTAATGGCGGTCTCCCTCCAGAGCCTTCGTGGGGAACTGCCACATACATACTGTTTCCTGCATGGGGCAGGGAGAGGAAGGTCCATCTGAGGACACACGCTTAGACAGCCGGGAAGGTAAATCCTCCCACAGTGACCTCCAGGTGCCACACAGCCCTCTTTCTGGGTCTGAGAAAACAAGGCAGGTACTTTCTACTGTATACAATGCACAGGCAGCAGCCTAATGTGTGCAGCCGGGTGGTTCAGGCCAGGGGTCGGCTAGGAAGTACACCCCCCCCCCCGAGTGTGGCCTCAACAGATTCAGCCAAAAGAGGCCAAGAAGGAAAATGGGTCCAGGCTGCTTGGGCGCTAGCATTCCAAGCAAAGTCAAAAATTCAGATTTTCTGTCAATCTCCTCATTTTTAAAGGTTGGTAAATTAATTTAAACAGTTCTCAACCCACCAAAATGAAATGAAACATGTATGTGTATGCAAGCTGAATTCAGCCTACACGCATCCAGCCTAGAGCCAAGCTCCCTAGACAAATGAAGACACAGTATGGGCCGACGGACTGCGCCTCAACTGCTCTCCTCAGTGACGCATTCTCTGCATTTCCAGAGTCCCCAGGATGCTTGGAGGCATTCCAAAGGGGGCAGGGGGCAGGGTTCATTCACTAAGAGTTAAGGGACCCCCAAGCTTCAGGAGAAATAGCAGTCAGTCACAAGCTTGGCTGACAGGGAAGAGGCTGCCGTGTCTGCCGCCTTCCATGCATGACCAGATCGAGCCGCTGGGGAAAAGGCCAAGAGCCCCCAATTCCATCACCCAAGCGACAGCCCAGAGTTTCCATAAACGAACAGGCGGACTGCGACACTGGGCTCCACTCAGGAACGTCGGGAAAAGCCTGTGGGAAGGCATACTTTGAACAAATAAGGGCAAAGGAGCCAGGCACTCTGTCCATGCGGTTTCAGTTAGCACTCTGACTGGAAACACTTTGACTGCTCTCAAAGCAGGATGCTGTCCCTCACAGTCAGCTCCGGTGCCCGCACGGAGAACAGCACACAGCCAGCCAGCGAGCAGCTCCTTGGAGCACACGGCATTTAGGGCAGCTTCCAGGCCATCAGGACACAGGGCGGGCAGTGCAGTCCACAGGCTCTGCTCGGACTCCAGACATGGTGCTGGCAAGCAGGGCTCCTGTCAGAGCCCACCTCAGCACTCAGATGCCACTGCCTGCTCCCCACCTCAGGGTTCCCCTTAAGCTGTCTAGTCACCTCTGTGCAGACGGAATGTGCAGTGCTGGCACACAGGGATGACCAGGGAAAGGACAGGGAACACACAGCACAGCCCCAGCCTACCCACATCAGTCAGTGGTGGGTCAGGACAATGAGCACGTGCACCCTGGGTGCTGGAGAGGACGGCAGTAGGACCATCAGGAAACAGCAAGTCCAGACCCTAGCAGGGAGTCAGCGCGGCTTTCAGGGTACCAAGGTAGACGGCTGCTGGGGCTGGGAGTGTTGCTGGTGCACGGAACTACCGGGCTCACCTCACGTTAGCACACTGGGGTTTCCTCTCTGGGGAAGCCGGGCTCTCCATGCCCTTCCCATTCTTCTCTAGGAAGCCTTTCCTCGCCACACTCAGGATTTACAACTCCAAGCCCGCCCAGTCTCCATAGCCACTCAAATTCCAGAACTCAAGTCTCAGGCCAGGACTTCCAGTACCGGCTCTACTGAGCAAGGGAGCCTGTCCAGTGCACTGCAAAGCATCGAGCAGCTTCCCGGCACCCAGGTTGCGACAGCCAAAAACATCCCTGGGCATTGCTAAATGTCCCTTAGGTCACAAACAACAACAGTCCTTATCTGAGAATCACTGAGCCTGACTAGGACCAGATCACAGGATGAGGATAAAGGGCAGACATTCCTAACCTAGCAAGTGTGGTTCCCAGGCTCTTTCCCAGTACGGAGGGAGGGGTGAGGAGGGAGGGGAAGATGTGGCAGGGGGGAGGAAAAAGGAGGGAGGACGTAGACCTGACTGTAATGGCAATGTGTAAATGTTGAGGCTCTGACAGAAGCTGCAGTACATCAGACTGGGAGATGCTGTCTACAGACAACCACACGGAACAGGGTCCAGACATACACTTTTACAGCGCAGCATGGTTTAAAAAAGAAAAAAGAAATGACAAATTAGACGCATAGCTGTTTATGCTGTGGAATATTACCGTAAGTGTGTAAAGGTGTGTCACTGCTGTTTATGCTGTGGAATATTACCGTAAGTGTGTAAAGGTGTGTCACAGCTGTTTATGCTGTGGAATATTACCGTAAGTGTGTAAAGGTGTGTCACAGCTGTTTATGCTGTGGAATATTACCATAAGTATGTAAAGGTGTGTCACAGCTGTTTATGCTGTGGAATATTACCGTAAGTGTGTAAAGGTGTGTCACATTTGTTTATGCTGTGGAATATTACTGTAAGTGTGTTACATCTGTTTATGCTGCATTTGTTCTATTATTAAAACATGAGTTGCTGTTTCACTTTGCCTGCCTAAGGCACATGATTGGTCTAATAAAAGCTGAACAGCCAATAGGCAGGCAGAGAGAAGGATAGGCAGGGTTGGTGGGCAGAGAGAATAAATAGGAGAATGAGGGAGAAAGAGAGGAAGATGCCCAGGGCCAGCCAGGCAGCTGCCAGACAGCAGACAGAGCAGGACACATAGAAAGAAAAGATTTAAAAACACCGAGGCAAAATGTAGATGAAAAGAACCAGGTTAAGTTACAAGAGCTAGCAAGAAAGGAGACTAAGATAAGGCCGAGCGTTCCTAACTATAAGCAGTCACCGGGTCATGATTCGAGAGCCGTTTCCTGGCCCTAAAGAGAGCTGGTACAGGTGCAATCAGACCAATTACTATAAAACGCCGCACACCGCACCAGAGACTGGGGAACGCAGAGGCAGACCAATTACTATAAAACGCCGCACACCGCACCAGAGACTGGGGAACGCAGAGGCAGACCAATTACTATAAAACGCCGCACACCGCACCAGAGACTGGGGAACGCACAGTCAGACCAATTACTATAAAACGCCGCACACCGCACCAGAGACTGGGGAACGCAGAGGCAGACCGACACTGGGTCAGAACCGCAGCTCGGCCGCAGCTAAGGTTCAGCAGGGCCAGGGCTGCACAAATCCAGAGCACTATGAGGCACATAAACCGACACAGCCACCTGAGAGAAAGCTCTGGCAATGCCCAACGCAGTGGAAGGTACTGTCCCCAACTGCTTCTGGAAACACACTAGGCAGAGACAACTGGGGGGTGGGCCAAGAATGCGGCAGACCCTGAGGTTGTGAGGCAGGAGAGTGAATCTCCAGCCCTGGCCCCACTTCCCCGGGGAGAAGTCAACACCCCTACACTCATGACTGGGAACCATCTGTTGGGCCATCAACCAGACACGGTCCATCAGCTGCAGTGTGTCTAGGAGGGATCACCAAGGGAAATACCTGAGCAGGAGCTACTTACTCACGATGTCATAAGCAGAATGCTGAATGGACAAGAGCAAGAAGGAAGGCCAAACACTGGGGCCACACTAACACAGCATGGCTTAGTAGCCTCCGCAGCAGAGGTAAACGGAACACCTGGAAAACGCAGCTCCCGACCCTGGCCTAACACGGAGCCACCCGGACATCTACTGTGCCAATGCCAGCCTAACACCTGCTTGCCTGGGCCCGGAGTCCCGGTGAGAAGACTGAGGGTTGGTTATACAGGGACCAAGTCAGGCTAACAGCTGCCACTAAGAAGGAAAGGCAGACAGACGAGGCACAGAGGCCACCCTGCATTAGACCATGTGGGTTTCTCAGAGGGTGCGCAAGTGATAAAACGAAGGTCTACGCTTCAGCCTGTTTCTACACTCCCTAACTCTGTGAACACGCTGCTCAGAGGTCTACACTGCTGGGAGTGAGGGGCAGGGAAGGTTTTGTGTAGTGAGAAACAAAGCCCTGCACACTAGTGTTAAAGAGAAACGTGTGTGTGTGTGTGTGTGTGTGTGTGTGTGTGTATCAGTGTCAGGAAAATGGCCTCCCCGTACCAGGCTGGCCCTGAACCCTTGACCCTCCTGCCTCCACTTCCTTAATGCTAGAATTATAGGCGTGTGCCACCATGCCCAGTGTTTTACCTGGTGCTGGGGACTGAATCTGGCCTCGTGCATGCTCGGCAGGATTTCTATCCACTTAGCCCGCCCCAGCCCCAAACTCTAATTCTTACTGCAAGAGTTGCTGCATAAACCCACTGGGCCACTGGAGATGTTGACGAGCACTCACAGGAAAATTCTAGCATGGCCAGAACTCAACTTTTCAGAGAAGCCAGGGAAAGGTCTGCTCACTGCCACTGTGTCCTCTCAGCACAGGCACCCTGAGGGCACAGCACAGGCAGCTCATCCGCTCCTGAAGGGCAAGGTGGGGCTCACGGCCTCCCCCATGGAAGCAGGCTCTTCCATCTTCCCCTTCTGTAAGGCCTGCTGCCAGCTGGCCCAGAGCATCCACATCTGACAGCGTGGCTCTGTAGCGTACTCACACACTCGGAACTGCCAAGTATCATGAGCCGAGGTTCAAAGAAAGTCCCGCATTCAATGTCACAGTGCCAGCAAATGGCAAAGCAGGCCCCATGCCGGGCACAAGGAAAGGCTCCATAAATGTCGGGTGGCAGACACAGGCAGGACTCAGCCCTGAGGGACTTCCCACACCTACGTTCTCTCAAGAATTGTGTGCACACGGTGCAGCGCTCAGGCTGCAATGGGGGGGTTCTCCCACCAGCCTAGACACAGGGCCTCCCCTAAGCCACGCTCTCTCTGACATGCTCCAGGGGTGTCTAGCAACACGGCACACACACATACCACCAGGACTCTGTACCCTCCTTCCCTTTCTCGTGGGAAGCCCAACTGTGGGTCCCTTGCTCTGCTGTTGCTTTTGACATCTGTCTTTTAAGACAGTGTCTGTGTGTCTATATGGCAACAGGAGTTGGCCTGCTGGCCCACAGACACTGCCCATGTGAGCGACAGGGCTGTGAACACCGTCTGGATTGCTGTATGACCTCAGGCCACCCAGAGAGGGCCCGACAGGTTTCCCCCGCCTTCAAAGCCTCTCGGCTGCTCTTCTAGAACCCTACCAAGGCTGCATCAGAGAAGGCCAAACACACAAAGGCCCTGGGCTCTCAGATAGCATCTGTTCCCTCCTGTGGCTGGGGTGCCATTGTCTTGATTCCCACAAACACTGCAGTACGGGTGTGACCGCAGCAAAGGCGCCTCCCACCCATATCCTGTCTCTGAGAGCAAGCACAGTGGTGCCTGGGGCTCTGACCCGCTTAGCTGGAAGAGCAGCAGCAAGGGAGGCTGCCCTGGCTCCTGCTTCAGAGGCAAGCCGAGACCTGGAGCCTGAGCAGTCTCAAGCACAGCTGCCAGGTCAAGAACAGTCTGGTCTCAGCTCCAGATCCACTTCCTCAGGAAGCCCTCCCTGACCACACCCCAGGTCTCAGGGCTCCCCGCACACAACCCTGTGTGCACAACTACTCGCCAACACTGGACTTCTGGACAGGCAGGTGTCCTCGAGCACTAGCGTGTCCGTGGCACTTAGCGCAGTGTCAAATTAGCAACCAGCGGCTGACGGCTGGCAGGCGGACTCACCTTCGCTGTCGGTGAGAACTTCCATGCGCCCACTGAACATGGCCTTCAGCATGGTGTCCTGCTTGGTGAGCGTCTGCATGGTGGTGTAGTAGAGGGCTCCCCCGACATTCAACTTCACGTACTTGGAGCTGGGGCTGGCGCCCTTGAAGGAAGCGGTGCGGGTAGCAGCCGCTGGCACCGCTGAGCTCAGCACGCTTTCTCCTGACATCTCTTCCTGCCAGTGAGAAGACAGGGTCAGATGCCAGCTCCCACCACTCCTGCCAGCCACAGGCTGAGCGCGCACACAGTGCACTGCTCTGGCCCGTATATTCATTGCATTTAAAACTTTCAATGTTGACAATTCAAGAGCTCAAAGGGAAAAAAAACAAACTTCATTTCTGGTTTCTCTTAAAATCAGAGGCTAATTGGGCCAAGTGGACAAATGGTGGCTGCTGGGGGACTGGCTGCCCCCCACGCGAGCAATGCATTCCTTAGTTTACTGCAACCAGCACCTAGTCTCACAGGCCAGCCTTGCCAGCTGACCCTGCTGGTGTGAGCTTGCGTCTAAATCCATCTGTATCAACAACAGCTGGACAGCATGCCAAGGCAGCCAAAGCCATGCCTGGGTTGCTCTACCTTTTCTCACCGCACACAGGAGCAGTTAAAAAGACCATCTTTACACGAACTGCAAACTAACTTGCTTTTGTGAGCTAGGCTGCTCCCCTATTCCTCCTGCTCCTACAACTTCTTCTGGGGAAGGTGACCCTGAGCACAGGCAACAGCTGGACAAGGAAGCAAGTTCAGAGAAAGGAGCAATTTCCCATCCTAGTATCACCAGACAGCAGCACCTACAGTGGCCCAGACAGCAGCACCTACAGTGGCCCAGACAGCAGCACCTACAGTGGCCCAGACAGCAGCACCTACAGTGGCCCAGACAGCAGCATCTACAGTGGTCCAGACAGCAGCATCTACAGTGGTCCAGACAGCAACTCCAGATACGGGGCACTCAAGCCAGAGCTAGACCTGCCTTTTTTTTTTTTTTTTTAAGTATGAATCTATCAAATTCTAGACCCTGAGATGTCTGGGGGGTGGGCTGGGTCTACTCCCTGACTCTGGGGCAAGACCTGAGAGAGAGAAAAGCAGCCTCCACAGACTGCGTGGGCTGTCTGGAGTGCAAGGTTTTGGAAACATCACAGAACTAACTCCACCATCACATGAAGCCACTCTGGGTCAGGCTGCATAGGACAAAAACAAGACCATTCCACCAATGCACCCAAACACAGGAAGGACAGGCCTTATCCAGAATACCGACTTGAGCACACACAGCCTCTCCTGGCTGACGTGTGTCCCTGCTGCGCTACTGCTGTCCTGAGTTCCCCTCCTTCAGGGTGGAATTAGCTGCCTGCTGTATTGGACACTCCTGTGGTACCTTCCTTTCTCAGTGCAACCCGGAGGTGACGGGCCACACCAGGCACAGGCATGCTCCTTGTGTCTTTTGGCTAGAGGGTACCGACAACACAAAACTTCAGACACCTGAAAACCGATGGTTTCCTTAGTTTTACCAGAAGAGATTTCCACAGCGAATGCTCATTACATTATAAGTGACAATATATACATCTTTATGATAGGCAGGACACAAAACAGATGCTACCTGTTGTTACAGCAGAGGCGGTGACAAGGGATGGGGAATATGGCCAAGCCTTTCTACCTCTGTCCCCAGTCCTCAAAGGCGGCGGGAACACAGCCAGAGATACTGTACAGAGAACGTGTCAGAGCCTTCCAAGGAAGGCTTTCCTCAACCAACTCTTCCTGACTGACACGCACGCACGCACGCACACCAAGGTGTTTTCAAAAGACTGGGCGGGGCTCTCCTGGGATCTATGGCATGAAGCCAAAATAGAAGATGCCAGGAAGAAAGCAAAAGCAGGACATCGCACACTGCCCCCATAGCTTTCAACCCAGCCCCTAAGATGCTGTATTAACAGTTATGGCCAAACACATTTTCCAGAAACAATGTACATCGGCAGCAGGAGATTCTAGGAATAAAGCATTTTCCAAACTTCGATGACCTGGAGGGCAAAAGAAAGGCTTACAGGTGTGCGTGTCCACACTGCACACAGGTGTGTATGTCCACACTGCACACAGGTGTGTATGTCCACACTGCACACAGGTGTGTATGTCCACACTGCACACAGGTGTGTATGTCCACACTGCACACAGGTGTGTGTGTGTCCATACTGTACACAGGCGTGTGTGTCCATACTGTACACAGGCGTGTGTGTCCATACTGTACACAGGCGTGTGTGTGTGTCCATACTGTACACAGGTGTGTCTATACTGTACACAGGCGTGTGTGTGTCCATACTGTACACAGGTGTGTGTGTGTCCATACTGTACACAGGTGTGTGTCTATACTGTACACAGGTGTGTGTCCATACTGTACACAGGTGTGTGTCTATACTGTACACAGGCGTGTGTGTCCATACTGTACACAGGCGTGTGTGTGTCCATACTGTACACAGGTGTGTGTGTGTCCATACTGTACACAGGTGTGTGTCTATACTGTACACAGGTGTGTGTGTGTCTATACTGTACACAGGTGTGTGTGTGTCCATACTGTACACAGGCGTGTGTGTGTCCATACTGTACACAGGTGTGTGTGTGTCCATACTGTACACAGGTGTGTGTCCATACTGTACACAGGTGTGTGTCCATACTGTACACAGGTGTGTGTGTCTATACTGTACACAGGTGTGTGTGTCCATACTGTACACAGGCGTGTGTGTGTGTCCATACTGTACACAGGTGTGTGTGTCTATACTGTACACAGGTGTGTGTGTCCATACTGTACACAGGCGTGTGTGTGTCCATACTGTACACAGGTGTGTGTGTCCATACTGTACACAGGCGTGTGTGTGTGTCCATACTGTACACAGGTGTGTGTGTGTCTATACTGTACACAGGTGTGTGTCCATACTGTACACAGGTGTGTGTCCATACTGTACACAGGTGTGTGTGTGTCTATACTGTACACAGGTGTGTGTCTATACTGTACACAGGCGTGTGTGTGTCTATACTGTACACAGGCGTGTGTGTCCATACTGTACACAGGTGTGTGTGTGTCTATACTGTACACAGGCGTGTGTGTCCATACTGTACACAGGTGTGTGTCCATACTGTACACAGGTGTGTGTGTCCATATTGTACACACTGTACTAATCCTCTCAGATATAAACTTAATAATGCACGCACGCAGGCACACAGAGAAAATGCGCACTCTGTGGAAGCAAGTCTAGCATCTTGCAAGGAACCGGACATGGACACACCTGTGCATCTGTACCAACCCACACCTGGACACACTCATGCCCTCGACCACTTGATTTCTGCCATCCTGACTGTGACATCCACACCACGTGTGGTGAGAGGCAGGGATGGTCATCTCCAGTCTATGGTCCACACAGGGTCAGTCACTTCTCAAAGCCATGAGGGTCAGTGACAAGCAAGTAAAGGATCTGGGCAAGGCCCGGCTGACCCTGGGTTGTTCATGATGCTTGGTATATTTAGAACTATGACACTTATGTCAAGAAAGGAAAAAGAAAAAAAAAAAGGTGAAAAGCCACATGTAGTTAAGGACTCAGCTGAGCCATGTTCAAGGCCCCAACTCTGTCACTTAGTGGCAGGAACTTGGGCGACACCTTAACGTTCCAGCTATCAGACAGAGACACTGGCTTCCTTCCCTGCTGCAAGAGGCCAGGTGAACAGAAGCATTCAGCATAGCCCCAGGCTGGTTAAAGGCTCCAATCATGATTATCAAAGTCTCAAGTCACTGTCTCCTCTTCCCAGACTGTCTGCAGCTATGATTAAGAGAGGACAAAGGTGTTAAATAACACAGGGCAAGGAAGGCCCAGAAACTTCTCAGAATCTCCCACCCCAAGTTAACTAACTGGCCTAATGCCAGGAGGGACCCTTGGGGGGGCAGATTCTGGCTGCATCCATATCCCCAGGGCTCATGATGGTGACCCAAGGGTAGGCAGGAAGCAGTTGCTTGCCTAAGCAGACTTCTCTGCAGAGGCCTTGCCCCCCTTCCACGGAGATGCTTTTTAGAGGCTCATCTCATGAATGAGGGCAGGGGCATGGAGGACGTGGCTACCGGTCACGGGAAAGAAGGCATCCTGAGATATGGATTTGTTTGTTTGAAACTGGTCCTGGTGCTATGAGTGAATCTAGGCTTCTTTCCTCCCCAACTGCTTGAAGATACTGCCGAGGACTACAAATGATGGCTCTCCCTGGTACTCCAGGGGACCTTGAGAAAGACAGAGATGTCTGGGTCCTGCTCACAGAAATTCTGATGTTTTTGCTCTTTTGGGTGTGGCCCAGGGATTCTTTAATTCCCCCAGCTGGTTCTAATACGAGGCCCAAATGACAAGCCTCCACCCGAAAAGGCTCTGTACCCCTTAATTCAGCTCTAATTAGCTCTGTGGTCTTGAAGAAGGTCTCCAACTAACCTCTTACTCTGCTGGCCCAGTGAATTTCTGACCCGCACATAAAAACCAACCAAAGCGTCATAAATAAAAGTCTGGCTGCTTGGCTTCAGAGGCCAAGGCAGGAAGCAGCTATCTGCATGCTTGAAAAGATTTAAAAAAAATGGCAGAAAGGAGATAACTATTGACTTGAGGGGAAAGCCAGACAAACAAGACAGGAAAACCAAAAACAGAAAATGGCAGATCCCTGCAGCCGCCTCACCTGAGCGGAGGGAGGGAAGAGCGAGGCTGGCCTGCACACAGGCCATCACTTCCGTGTGATGTTCACCAGATCGACGGAACCCAAGTCTCAGTTTCTCAATCTGTAAAGCAGACTCTTAAGGCTAGAACCTTCCAAATACTGCCCCCCCCCCCGAGTTAAAGCTTGGGCCACCTAACCTTTCTACTTTTAGAACTTTCTCTTCTACACAGAAACTCCTTAAAACCAGGTGTTTCCAAACAAAGCTACCAGTCACCTGTGCTTTCCAAACACAGGTGCCTGCCTGGATTAGACCCCAGAGCAAAATCTAAAAGTCAGCCAGCAGCGGGTGAGGCTGCCGACAGTGATTTGGGTTTAAAAGGCTCTTTCAAGTGATTCGGATGCTAAGTGAGATCAGCCGGTCAGTTTATCTAATAGCCGCAGGGGGTCTGAAGGGAATTCTTCCCGCTGGGAAACATCAGAGGCCTTAACCTTAACACATCCCTAAACTGAGGTCTCTGCTGCACTAAGAAAAGGCTGCAGCTCCAGGCGAACCAAGCTGGGTTAAAGAGGGCAAATACCGGGCACCCCAAACTCGATTCTAAGGCAGTCACGACCAATTCCAAGAGCCTGAGCGAATGGCATCCTCCTGCTGATTTTTAACAGGATTCTCTTCACAGTCTAGTGAGGGAAACAGTCAATCCCGCTTTCTTAGGGAAGGGTCAGAGCTGTGCAGGGGCTGAGGTCAAACCCTCCATTTCACAGCCCAAATCACCAATGACTCGCAGAGTCGCGTGCCGGGACTGTCTGTGGTTAGGGCTGGACTCCTGGCACCTCTCACAAGTCCCCAGGTCACACTGCTCGCCTGTGGGTCAGCGGACGAGCTTCCGGTGTTGCTGGCCTTCTTTTTTTTGCCAACCCAATCCTTATCTTACACACATTAGAGCTGTTCAAAGCCATTTGTCTTCGGATGGGGATTGATCCTCTAGGGGAGCGAGTGGCCAACAAAGCCGACGTTTTCATCTCCGCGCCTTCCCACCCAAGGACAAAGAACCATTCAGGGAACAGACTCTTGAGAATCCCAGGTAAACAGAACCTGCCTCACAGCCCAGACAGCCACGGGAGACATCCTAGGATCCCGAGGCGTGGTCACCTAAGGCCTCACGGGAAGTGACTGGATAGGCAGCCAGATGCCACTCGAGGCAGGGCCCCCTGGCCACGCACCCTGACCGCAGACACCCGGCATCGCTGCCCAGAATTCCGAGCACTGGCTTCACAGCCCTCCGTCATCTGGGCTCCAGACCGTGGTCTCGAGGGCCGTGGAAGCCCCTTCCCATCCCGCCCGCAACCACTCGAGGCACAGCCTCCCTCCCCGGTGCCAAACGCCCGGCCGTCTCCGCGGCCCTCGGTCCGCCCGGAGCGGCGGTCTGGGTGCCGTCTCTTTGTCCTGACCACCTCCGAGCCCGTCTCCGGGCGGCACTGGGGACCGTGCGCCCTGCACACCCCCCCGCGCCAGTCCAGACGGCCCGCCCGCCGCCCGCCGCCGCCCCGGCCTCGCCGCCGCCCTCGCCCGCCCGTAGCCCCCCGACAGCGGCCGCCGCCCTCACCATGAAAAGTCGGAGGACGCCGGAGTCTCCAAATCCGGACTGAGAGGAAGGAAACACCCAGCTCACTCAAGGCAGGGGGCGGAGGCGGGGCCGGGGCGGGCACTTCCGTTGTCCACACCCCGCTTCCGCCCCGCAGAGGGGACCCCTTCTTAAAAGCGTCCCCTCCCTGTAGCCCGCAAAGAGCGCTCTTTTCCTTTCAGCCACTCCCTCTCGGGCGGGTTCCACCGCCCCCGTGGCTGTGTGGGGCATTTATCCCACCTCTGGAATTTTCTTCTCTCCGGCTGCCAAAGGAGAGAGGAGGATGAGGAGACGTTTTCCTTCCCGGGCAAAGAAGCTGTGCGGAACTGTTGTTTCCCGGAACTGGATAATCGCTCCTAGGCGGAGTCCGGAGCATAACACCCGGGGCATGATGGCGGCCGGGCTTCGGCCGCTGCCCCGGGTTCGGCTGAACTCGGGGAAAGCGGGCTGAGGCGGCGGCTGCTGCGGCCCGGACCCCGAGCGTCGGGGCCTCGAACGGATAAAGACCTCCGGCCAGCGGGTAGCGAGCGGGAACAGGGCGGCCGGTCCTCCGGGTGGGGGGACCTAGGGCTGCGGGCCGAGCCTTGGCTTAGAGAGGGCGGGCCGGGAGGCTCTGGCTCCCGGGATCTCTCCGTGGCCCCTTTCCGCCGGCTTTCCTGTGTGAGGCAGCTGGCCTTAAAAGACAACTAACTCAGGGCGACACCGACTTGTTATTGTCGTTGTTGATGTTGCTGCCAAATGAAAGGCGTTGGGCCGGAGGCGCCACCCGAAGTGGATGGAATTCGAGTTCTGTGCGCTCGCTGCGTGACCTTGGGTGAATCCAGTCACATCTCTGAACCCTCGGTTGTAAACGGAGCACTTAGATCGTTTCACAGGGGTTATTTTACAATACGTTTTAGTGTGGTTCCTGACAGCTCCTAATACAGAAAAACTTCTCCGTGCTTTGACTTCAGCCTATCCACAAGGGAGCCCGGCATTCCCAACTTCTCTTTGATGTGCCGTTCTGGGGGTGGAGGAACCCCGAGTCTGGTCTGTCTGACTTGGAAGTGAGTAATTCCTTTGGGGTTCAAAGTCAGGAACCCGGAGGACACCGGCAAGTTACATGCCCTCTCTGCATTTTGCTGTAGGTTTCTGTGAGCCATACCTTGGGTTACTTAAGACCTATTGTCTATTCTTGAGCATTTAAAACTGGGGTATTGTAGCCTAATAGGATAGAGCCGATGTAAAGGAAGGACCAGTTAAGTATCTGTATAGTGTCTGTGACCTGCCTTTATAGTGGTGGCCATTATGCCTGGCAACCTAGCTTTTTCCACCGTAAAGGACAATTGGCAATGTGTATTTTGCTTCCATCTGGATTCTTGTGCTGGTCCTGTTGCTCACCTTGGACTTAGTCTCATCCAGCGTAGAAGGGTTTCAAGCAGGTTTGCCAGGGAATATAGAGGTAACGCAGAGTCCAAATCTTGTCTGAATCTTGCTTGGCTCTGGAGCTTACTAATGGTATAGCCCAGACTGAGCAGGGGCGGGGTGCGCACAAGAATGGATCACAGATGCTGGGCAGTCATTTACTTTATAGCTGGGAGGCGGCTCCTGCTCTCCTGTCCTGCCCACTACTTGGGGTCTCTTTATTATTATTTTTTAAAAAGATTTTTGTTTGTTTTTAGGTGTTTGAGTGTTTTGCTTGCATGTATGTATGTGCATGCCCGTGGCCAAAAGAGGGCATTGGAGCTTCTAGAACTGTGGGTGCTAGAAACTGACCTGGTTCTCTGCAAGAAGAGCCAGTGCTCGTAGCCACTGAGTGTCTCTGAAGCTGATAGTACTGCCATCTTTTCTTCTGCCCTTCCTTCCTTCCTTCCTTCCTTCCTTCCTTCCTTCCTTCCTTTCTTTCTTTTCCCCCCTCTTTTTGTTTCTTGAGACAGGGTTTCTCTGTAGCTTTGGAACCTGTGCTAGAACTCTAGGCCATGCTGGCCTCGAACTACAGAGATCCAACTGCCTCTGCCTCCCCAGTGCTGAAATTAAAGGTGTGCGCCACCACTGCCTGGTTGGTAGTGTCATTTTAAGGAGAGGACTAGAGGACTTGGTGTTGTAGTCGTGCCTTGAGACGGCTTGCACCTCTCAGGAGCGTGACTGTTCAGTTTAAACAATAGACCCAGGCGTTCATGGACCCATGTGCTGGGCCTGACGAACCTTAGTTCACTTGAGGATAGAGAAACAGCTTAATGGAATGGTGCAGACGGAAAGATTAAAATAGTAATGATGATGATAATAATAATAAATGGGCTGTGGAGAAATCAGTGGTTAAGAGCACTTGCTACTCTTGCAGAGGACTCAAGTTCTATCCCCACATCTCATGGCTCACAGCTACTGGACCTCCGGCTCCAGGGGATCTTCTGGGCACTGCCCTCATATCCTCACAGACAGAAAGAGACACAATTAAAAAGAATGTCAGAAAGAGAAAAACATTTTGTATCCGCAAAGGAAACACACCCCCTAGGCTTTGTAACTGCCCTGTTGGCAGCTCAGTAGAACCATGATATACATGTGTCTGTTCTCATGACAGGCATCAAAGCTGACTATCAAAGGCAGAAGATTCTGAGACTCTGTGAGCAGAGTTGACAGAGCGGGGTGTGTGTGTGGGGAGTGTTGGTGCCAGCTCTGGGTGACTCAGGACCACGTGCTCCTCCCTGTGAGGAGGAGGGCTCCTCATAGTCCCATTACTCAGAACGGCCACTTTGATTTGTTTTTGGCCCTTCACTTTTAACATGCTGGAGAACAGATCTGAGGTTTCAACCCTGATAGACAGCGGTGTGGTCTCTGTAGATCTGCGATCAACCCTGATTGACTGCGGTGTGGTCTCTGTAGAACTTCGATCAACCCTGATTGACCGCGGTGTGGTCTCCGTGTGTGCACATTCCCTTTGCCTCTTTGCCTTTCACTGAGAACTGGGTTCCTGTTATCTCACAGGCTGCCATTTTTTCACTTCTAAGTCATAAACCCTTTTCCAGAGTATTGAAAAAAATGTGAGGGGCAATTGTCTAATTTAACATTGTATGACCTCTTGGAGTTACTTTTGAAGTAGGGTCACATTGAGAGGACACTCTAACCAAAGAGGATTTCCAGGGTTTTAATGATTTAGTTTTATGTGTATTGGATTTTTGCCTGCATGTATGTCTGTATGAGGGTGTTGTTGGCTCCTCTGGAACTGGAGTAACAGAAGCTGTGAGCTGCCATGTGGGTGTTGGGAATTGAACCCCGGTCCTCTTGAAGAACAGCCAGTGTTCTTAACTGATGAGCCATATCTCCAGCCCCTAGACAGTTTTTAGCATCAACGACAGTGTATTACTTACACTCAGTATAATTGGGATGCCACACCCACAAAACAGTACTAATTCTGAATTTTTCTTTTGCCAGAAAACCAACTCCTCTGAAGCCAGAGCTGTGCAAGGTCACTGATGGTCACCTAGCGTCTTCGCTGTAAGGCAGGTCCTCAGGTGAGCTCTCCAGACCTGGCAGAAGAGGGACAGTTAGAAGCATGGCCGCCTCTCCCTGAGGTTAGCAGACTATGCTGGTCTGTTTCAGGAGTTGCTGATGATACTGGCCGGTAGTGGAACGTCATGGTAATGTGTCTGACTAGCATGTACACAAAGGTGTTTCCTTGAGTATTGCTGATGGAAGCCTAGAATGTTGGCAGATCCCGGTGTCATTTGACAGGTGTGGGTCAGGTGGGGAAGGGTCCTGGATATGTTCATGTGACAGGAATCTAGATGTGTTTCAAAGTGGCTACTGCTTTGAGTGACTCTAGCTGGTGAAAGATGCTTTTCCAGAACCTTGCATTCCTGCATGATTTATTCAATGTTTGATCAGCTGGGCTTATGATGCTGTGTTTTGGGGTAGCTAAAGAAATCCTGTTAGGAGGCTCAGTGGGTCAGTGCTGCATATGTTTGGCTGTCAGCCAAAGCCACCCACCCGCTTGGGGCAAAAAAAAAAACAATTACTGGTGATTCTGTCCTGCCCACTGTTCCCCTCCGCCCTGCAGAGCACCTGCCAGTGAAGGGGAGCAGTTCCCGTGTGGCCTGGCCGCAGGGTGGGTGATGTGTAAAGACCCCTGTCCAGATTAAATGTGCTGTCATGGAGGCTGCTGGAAACATGCTCGGTGGAAAAAGCCCTTGCCATGCACACATGAGGTCCGGAGTTCAGGTCCCAGAATCCAGCTATGCTGGGCCGGTGTGGACCCTGACTGTAATCTCAGTACTTCAGAGGCAGACATGGGAGCCCTGAGGCCACTTCAGAGTAGGTAGTCTGGCTGAGTGGGGCAGTGCCTTCAGGTGAGGAGCCTCCTTTCATAGATAGAATGGAGAACAATGGAAGGCACGACATCAACTTCACACATGTATGTCCACTCACACGGAACACACAACACACACAAGCGAAAAACAAAAACAGAAGGAGGACCTTGGGGGCTGGCAAGATGGCTCAGTGGGTGCAGAGGTGCCTGTTGATCAGCCTGGCATTTGAGTTTGATCCCTGCCATGTACATGGTGGAAGGAGATTGCTGACTCCTGCATGTTGTGCTCTCACACACACACACACACACACACTAAAAATAAATGTAATGTTTAAACTTTTTTTTAAGATTTATCATTTTAGATATCTGAGTGCTTTGCTTGAATGCGTGTGTGTGCGTGTGTCATGAGTGTGCAGTACCTGCACGGCTAGAAGAAGGCATCAGATGTCTGTAACTAGAGCTACAGGTGGTTGTGAGCTACCATGTGGCTGCTGAAAAATGTCCCTGGGTCTTCTGCAAGTGTAGCAAGTGCTCTTAACCCATGAGACATCTTTTGTGCCTCAATAATGTAATTTTTAAAGAAAGACCTCGGTTTGCTGAGGTGGCTTGGGTACAGGGGCAAATGGATAGGGATACAGGTGCAGGCGGCTCTGGGGTAGAGATGCTTGCCTTACACATCTGACGGCCTGACTTCAAACTCCAAAGCCCTTGTAAAGAAAATTGACTCCTCATATTGTTTTTGATCTCTACATGTGCACAGTGTCACACTTGCCCACACAAACACAGCGCACACCCACATATACAATGGTAACTTTTAGAAACTGAAAGCAGGTTGGCACAGCAGGCCCTCGTAGCCTGTCAGTCTGAGTCCCATCTGCAGGGTTCACGGGTGGAATGAGAGTCGAATCCTATACCTTGTCCTCTGATGTTCACATGGCCTGAGGGGCGTGCACATACACACCTGCTCGTGCATTCTTGTTCAGATAAAATGTAACCAGACATTTTAAAACAATAGCCTTTTTTTTTCCACGTGTTGCTGGGCATAGCAGAGGCACCAGTAAACATCTCTTGCATGAATGGGTGTCTAAAGTGACAACATAATTAAGATCCTCCACGGCATCACCTGCCCAGATGGGAGGTGACTGTTGTACTGCCTTCTAAGTGTGGGGAGCGGAGCAGAGAGGGCAGGCGCGCAGGGCCGCTGGCGCATGCTAGAGTTGACTGGCACTTTCTGGGTGGGGATGACTCATGCTTGTGCACTTTCACCGTGCTGGGAGCCGACCCCTGCTCTACCCCTGCCCTGCCTGCGCTTTCCCCTGAGCAAATGTGATCACTTAGCACAGCCGGAGATTCTGCCGTCTCTGTGGGTGGTGTGACAGGGTGGTAGGAAGTTGAGACTTGGGTCAGGAGAGCCATGAACTCTAGGGGTGGGTGGGTGGGCAGACGGGGTCCCTGCTGCTTCCCGGGCGTCATCTGCCCTGTGCACCCGAGCCCCTACCCGTGTGTCCACGGTGACCTCCATCAGCTCCTCTGTCCTCCACAGGGTTCGTGCCGGTTTGCAGACATGTTCACCGTATCTCAGACCTCCAGAGCATGGTTCATTGACAGAGCTCGGCAGGCACGGGAAGAAAGGCTGGGGCAGAAGGGGCGGGAGCGCTCCGCTGTGATCATTCAGGCTCTTGTCCGCAGCTTCCTCTGCCGGAGGCGACTGCACAGGGGCATCAGGTGAGAGGCAGCAGCAGTCCGCAGGGCTGCCCATGAGCAGCAAGTGAGTGACCTCTCCCGCATGGCGCTCCAGAGGCCTTCCCCCTGAGCAAGCGAGTTACGGGTGTCTGTTTTACTTTGGCTCTTCCCTACCTAGGAGAGAGATTGATGAGTTTTTCAGCACGGATGACTCTGGCTCCAGTAAAAGAAGTGCACTATGTATTTTTAAGATTGCCAGGAAGCTGCTGTTCATATGCAAAACTAAAGAGGACCATGAGGTAAGCCCACTGTCTTAGGGTTCTGTTGCTGTGAAGAGACACCATGACCACAGCACCTCTTACAAAGGAAACATTTCACTGGGGTGGCTTACAGTTTCAGAGGTTCAGTCCGTTATCATCTTGATGGGGAGCATGGTGGCCTGCCGGCAGACATGATACTGACTACATCTTGACCAGAAGGCAGTAGGAAGTCACCTGACTGTCACTGAGGGAAGCTTGAGCAAAAGGGACCTCAAAGCCTGCCCCACAGTGACACACTTCCTCCAACAAGGCCACACCTCCTTAATAGTGTCACACCCTGTGAGATTGGGGCTGGCTACTGTCAGACTAGCACACCTGGCAGTCACATACACGATTGTCTGCTTGCTCCAGGACCTGGTGTTTGGTAGCATGGACCTCCTTGTCCTTAGGCGCCTGTGTGAGGCACAGGTCACGACTGCCCACAGAGAGATTCAGCTGTGCTTTCATGCTTCCAGAGGCCTCTGCACATTAACTAAACACAGGCACTGCCCTCAAGTGTGCATAAGAATCAGGCAGCAGAGGGACGCGGGTGAAGGAAGAGGCTAGGGGCAGAGCACAGTAGGAAACAGGCATTAGCAGTCAGCGAGTGGTGAGGCCTGAGAGGTCAGCAGGGTCTGCTCTGTGCCCCCACTGGAGGGGCCAGGGGCTCCGGGCTTCCCAGGAGGTGCTAGACGCTTGAGTTATGCTGGATACCCTGATTGAGATTAAATGCTGGTATCTTATTTATCATGATTTACATCACAAAACTTAACCACCTTGCTGGCGTGGCGCTTGTTAGTACGACTGGCCTGGAAGACAGCTGAGGGAAGGAATGGGTGCCCGTGGTCACGCTCGGGGCACTGCTGGGGAGTCCCCAAGGGAAAGCAGACAGGCAGGCTCCCTTCTGGAGCGAGAAGAAGAGCAATGGTCACAGAGATGAGGACATTCAGGCTCAGGGAGGTGACCCCATTACAGGTGCAGATGGGGGAAGAGAACAGGCCGAGTGTAAGCAGTTTTTCCAGTTTCTGCTTCCTCTTGATTTGCATATTAGGGTAAGGGCGATGGCTGAAGAGCTTTTGGCTGATGGCTGTGAGGCAGAGGTCAGTGCTAGTGTTCCCAGGGGTGCAAAGTGTGGGGCACAGGTTAGGAAGATGGCTGTTAGGCTGCCAGAATACAAGCTCAGTGCCTAGGAATGGTGGCCATGGGCGGGAGGCCAAGGCAGGAAGATTGCCGTGAGTCGGAGGCCAGCCCAAGCCGCAGAGACCAAAAGAGGCCCGCTCTGGGTCCTCATGTGAAATGCACCAATTTAAAACACACTCCTAGGCCCTGGTGGCACACAGCTTTTATCCCAGCCCTCAGGAGGCAGAGGCAGGCAGATCTCTGTGAGTTCCAGGACAGCCAGGGCTACACAGAGAAACCCTGCCTTGAAGAACCAAGAAATAAAATCACATCTCTAGGGCAAGTTCTGTAGGCCACCAGTTTGAACCCCGCCTGTAGCCTTGTGTCCAGTGTCAATGTCTCTGAGAAGGAATTGAATATGAATGTGCATGTATGAACCTTATGACATGTTGTCTGCATGCTTCAGATGCCCACCAAACATACACTCCCTCCTCCTGCTCATGTTCTGATTAGTTTGGAGACTTACAACTTGTTTTTCTGCCCCTGCAGAGACTGGAGAAGTTGTGCCGTAGCATCCTGAGCAGCATGGATGCAGAGAATGAGCCAAAGGTGAGTGGGTCGGAGCTGGAGAGTCTCCTACAAGTCCTGGTGGGCTTGCTTACGAGGTCGGAATGGTCCTGCTCAGTGGCTCACACAGATATGCACTTGGGTGTTGGGTGGACGGACGATGCCTTGATCCTGCCTCTTATTTAAGATAGTTACTGCCTTTTCTAGGCTCTGATCTCTAGGGCTGATGTTGAAGTGCACACTGCTGGGCCCTGACCTCTGGGGTTCCTGCTGAAGTGCATACTGCTCTCCCCTTACTCAGGCATTCAGTCTTACTGCCTTGATAGACGTGGCCCTGGGACGTGGCCCCGTAACTGCCCACACTCCCGCTCTTCTCGCTGCCTGTAGGTATGGTACGTGTCCCTGGCTCTTTCCAAGGACCTCACTCTGCTATGGATCAAGCAGATCAAAAGCATCCTGTGGTACTGCTGCGAGCTTCTTGAACAGCTCAAGGTAAACCAAACCCTACACCCAGACCACTATTCTTGGTTCTCTGTGTGCAGGAAGCCGTCATTCCTCACAAAGCCCTGTGAAGAATGCATGGCTGCTGTCCCTGGTCAACAGCTAAGGAAACCACAGCACAGAGGGTTAAGGAACTTCTCTAAGACCATACAGGCAGTAAACAGTCACAGAGGGTTAAGGAACTTCTCTAAGACCATACAGGCAGTAAACAGTCACAGAGGGTTAAGGAACGTCTCTAAGACCATACAGGCAGTAAACAGTCACAGAGGGTTAAGGAACGTCTCTAAGACCATACAGGCAGTAAACAGCGAGGCCGCAGTCCCTGTGTGTCTGTGTTGAGCTGTCTCCGTTACTGCCCCATCCCAGCAAACAGTCAGCTGTCAGCCCAGAGAGAGGTGCCTGGGACCCTGTCTCCCGGGCATGCTCAGCTCTCCACTCCTGGCAGCGTCTGACCCTGTGCTGAAGCACTAAAAGTCTAAGATATGCGGTGTGCAGGAAGCGCGTGGGCCGTGGAGTGGGGTCGCGGGCTAGAGTGTTAATCTCACTCCATTACGCCATCATTTGCAGCCGGAAATCTTACAAGACTCCAGGCTCATCACACTACACCTCACCATGCTTGTCACCTTCACAGACACTTCAACGTGGAAGATTCTCCGGGGAAAAGGTGTGTGGATCCACTTCAGAAATCTCCCCCAGCAGCATTTCTACAGGGGGCACAGCTCCAGCCCAAGAGCAGCACTCTGGGCACACAAGCTCAGGGGGAGCAGCACTCTGGGCACACAAGCTCAGGGGGAGCAGCACTCTGGGCACACAAGCTCAGGGGGAGCAGCACTCTGGGCACACAAGCTCAGGGGGAGCAGCACTCTGGGCACACAAGCTCAGGGGGAGCAGCACTTTGGGCACACAAGCTCAGGGGGGCTCGGAGCGGAGCCCCTGCGCTCGGCACGTCCCTCTGGGCTGTTTCAGAGTATCCAGTGTTAGTTAGCATGTGTGCAGCCCATCCTGCCTTTGAATTTCTCTGTATAAAGGCCTTGTTCTCTGCTCTCCTTTCTAACTCCCCCGCACCCCTGCCTCTGAATGTTGGACTTCATTAAAGCCTTCTGGTGTTAGTTGTTTAAAAAAAAAAAAAAAAAATTAAAGAAAAAGAACAGTAAGGGGCTGGAGAGCTGGCTCAGTAGTTAGGAGCAGCAGCAACTGCCCTTCCAGAGGCTTCCCAATTGGATTCTCTGTGTCACATGGTGACTCTCACACGCACGCACGCATGCACGCACGCAGGCAGAGCATTCACACACAATAAATCTACATGTTTTCAATAATACGATTTTGCCTATAAGATTTTACCGCAGAGTCACCTCCTCCCTTAGAAATTGTCCACAGCACTGGGCCCATCCCCTCAGCAAACGGCCTTGTACATGCCAGGCACTGTGTTAGTAAGACACTGGAGATGCGGTGGTGAGAGATGACCACCAAGCAGAAGCAGGCTCCACAGCCACAGAGTCGACCAGCTGCAGACAGGGAATTCGTGAAAAAAAGAATTGCACCTGTAGGAAACAGCCCGGCTCTTCTCCCTGCTAGTTCTCAGTGAGCCGCGGCAGCCATCGCCATAGTGCTTCTTATACCAGGTGCTGTAAATTACCAACCGGTGACCAAAGCTATGGGAAGATGTCTGCTCTGTGCAGATCCTGTGACTCGAGTGGACAGGGCCTCCCAGGGCTCTGCTTTGCCTAAGGCACTAGGAACACAAGCAGAATGTCCCGTCCCCTGGGGTTGTGGCCTTGAGGCCTCGTGTCCGGTGCTTGTCTATAGCTGTGCTAGAACCCTGGAGAAGCACCTGGAGAAAGGTCCCTTTGACCACGGGGACTTGGGGGCAGCCCACCGTGGAAGAGGGTCCCTTTGACTGACCACGGGGACTTGGGGGCAGCCCACCGTGGAAGAGGGTCCCTTTGACTGACCACGGGGACTTGGGGGCAGCCCACCGGGCAGGGAAAGGTTGGCCACAGGAGCTAGGGACTGACCTGGCGGCTGGGAGCCAGAGTGGGCACATCCCAGTTGTACACAGGAAGCAGGAGGGGCCGAGACCACAATCTCAAAGCCTAACCCCAACACACATAGGCTGTGACGCTCTTCTAGCAAAGCTGTGTTTCTTGTAGGTTTAAGGGTCCCTAAGGTTAGGTTCCACACCGTCCCAGGCAGCACCACCTGCTGGGGACAGTTGTCTAATCACTGGGGACTTTGAATTCAAACCTCTGTCTTTCTTGTCCCCTGCCCTGCTTAAATTGCTCACGTTGTGGCAAGAGATTGTCTTCTCAAACTGTTTTATTTGTTTAGGTGAGAGCCTTCGGCCAGCCCTGAACCACATTTGTGCAAATATAATGGGCCATCTCAACCAGCGTGGATTTTACTCTGTGTTACAGGTCTGTGGCCCCATCCTAACGTGCCCCTGTGGCACCTGAACTGGGTTCTCAAGTGGGTTCCCTGGTGCCTTGTGTCCCCCTTGCAGGGAGAGTTGAGTACGCACTGTCCTCTTGTCCCCTCACTTCAAGTCACTGCGGTTTGCGTAGGGAGTATGGCGCCACTTAGTCCCTAGGATGTTGTAGCTAAAGGAGTCAAGGGCAATCCAGAGTCCTGACTGACTGTCCAGGCTCCCTGGTGGAGGGGGACAGTGCGTTTCTAACTCCATGTCCTCAGATGGCCCTCTGTCCACTCAGTACATAGTGCTAGCTCTCAGGCCGGAGAGTGGGCAGAGCGGGTTACTCTGGAGCTGCTCTGGACTTCCCAGGCGTTAGGAAGAGCACTCATGCGACTCTTCCTTCTGCCCGATGCTGGGATGGGCCAGCTCCTGGCTCACATCGCTTCTCACAGCACAGTGGGCTGCGTCGGCAGAAAGGGTCTTTGGCTGGAACAATGAACAGTGGCTTAAGTCACATTTCACATGGATTTTTAAAACTCACTGTGTTTGAGATTGCTGCGCTGCCCGAGCCAACCTCAACCCCCCAGGCTTGAGTGCCTCAGCCTCCTGGGAAGCCAGGACTACAGGGCAGTGCACCCAGTTCGCAGATGCTTGTCTCCTTAGCTGTTTGTTATGAAAATGCAGAAGGAACCTCCACAGCCAGCAGTGTCTGTGGGAGCTTCCCTTTTCTTTTGTTTGAGATGGGGTTTGCTTTGTAACCAAGCTGACCTGGAACCTGCTCTGTAGACCAGGCTGACCTCAAACTCAGAGATCCTTGTGCCTCTGAGTGCTGGGATTAAAGCATTCGCCAACATGGCCCAGCCCCTCTTTGAAATGGATGAGTGGCTGTGGAGACTCGATGCTCAGGCTGTGGAGACTCGATGCTCAGGCTGATAGCTTGAATGTTCTTTTCAGGTACTGCTGACCCGAGGCCTGGCCAGATCCCGGCCCTGTCTGTCCCCAGGCACGCTAACGGCGGCCTTCTCTCTGGCCTTGCGGTAAGACGCCAGCGGCAAGGATGGGTCCCCAGGATCCTTTCCCCTCTTTGTCATCTTTCCACCCACCTTGTCAGAGTGTGTAAGAAGTGTCACCATAGTGAAAGTGACATTTCTGTGACAATTGGCGCTTCCCCTCAGCCTTCAACATCGAGTGTTTGCTGTGAGCTGAGAGCAGCGATTTGCAGTGAATTAGGTTTGTTCTGCCAGTGGCTGTATGGAGTTACTTTTCCTGTTTAGTTCCTAAGAGTGAAAGGAAGAGGACCAGCCCAGGGCAGGGGGAAGGTCCTGAGAGGACAGGGCTGGGGACACCGGCAGGAGATGCTGACATTGCAGCAGCACAGAGTGTGAGGTGGCCGAGTTGGCCACATTGGTTGAGAGCGTGTAAATGTGTAGACAGGAAGGGCGTCCTTGGAGAAATTAGACCTGCAGTTCTGGGAACTGCAAAGCAGGAAAAGCTGCATTCCTAAGTGCTCAAGAGTGTGGTAATGTGTCGAGAGGCCCCCTACATGGAGAGGGCGGTAACTGGTCATGGAGAAAAGCTCACCCTGGTTGAGCCAGCTCAGGATGTGTGTGTGGCCTTCCCTGCCTCCACCAGCAGATAGATGCAGGCACAGCCCGGTGCTGAGCGTTCTGAGGCCAGATGTCTGAGCATGGAGCCCCCTGCCTTTGTTTGCATGCTGGGCATGCCTATTCCTTTCCCGGTATTGTGTCCTGTGGAGCCCTAGTGTGGTGACACTGCCAAGCTCGTGCTGGTGATCTTCGGTAAGGGCTGGAAAGTAAGCAGCCCAGCCCCATGGACCACTGGGCCTCTGTCACACCTCTTGTGACTGCAGTGGGAGGGGCAGGTGCAGTGAAGACAGCAACTAGTCCAGGCTCCAGGGTTTTCCCTCACCATCATGGCCACATGTAATCAACAGTTGGCTGGGCTGGAAGCCCCTGGTTTTGATCTTCAGGACCACAGATACTGCTCAACTATAAGGAGGTAGGGGCAAAGCATCAGAAGTGCAAAGTCACCCGTGGCTGCACAGTGAGACGGGGGCCAGCCTGGGGTACATTAGCCCCGCCTCAGAAAACAGCACAAAAACGAAATGTTAGATGGTTCCTTAATTTCTCTGTAAGCATTCCACTGACCGTTCCTTAGGGCCGGGTTGCTCCAGAGCCTTCTCTCTATGGAGCAGAGCATCTTTCTCCCTCTGAGTCTTTGCAGATAAACGAGCAGGACCAGGAACTTAAATGAGATTCAGGGTCAGCGAGATGGCTCCAAGGGAAAGCCACTCACATGGGTGGGCCTAATAATTCACATAAAGGCCGATGGGGACACCACATAATTGTCCTCTGACCCCAGCCCTCAGCTGGCGCAACTGTGTGTGTGTGTGTGTGTGTGTGTATAGTAATTATAATTGAGAAGATGTCACCACTAAGTCCTCGAGGACACACAGCTGGAAATGACCAACCCACCAGTGGATTCCCCACACAGTCTCTTGTCTCCATCTGCTCAGTGGTCCAGCACCCCCTCCTGTTTATGGCCAAGTACCGCTGTGTGAACAAACTGCATCGGATGTTGTGCCATTTTTTGCCACTGCGGTCACTTGTGTGTGCATGTGTGTGTGGGATGTTTCTCGGCGTGAGATAGCGTGGTCGTGGATACTTGCATTGGGGAAGAGCTGTCGTACTGTTTTCCAGCCGTTCCCACTAGCCGTTGGTGGGAGCGGAGGCTCCAGTGTCTTCCCAGCCTCCTCAACGGCCGAGTCAGTGAGGATGAAGTGCTGTCTCCATGCCATTGTCTTCAGCAGTCCTGACAGCTGCTGGCAGCCGTGTTCCTGAGTGTTTACTAGTCATTTGTGGGTCATCTCCCTGCCCTGGTTTTGTTCTGCGGTTTGAACATAGTGTTAAACTATGTAGCCAAGGCTGGCCTCAAACCCTTGCCCCTCCTTTCCCTGCCCCTCCTTTCCTCAGTGGGACCACAGGCATGCCCTACCTGTAGCTTGTTTGGCCATCTCCATCTTCAAGTTGGGTTGTTTACTACTAGTTAGTGAGTTCTCTGTGTTGCAGATAGTCTGCTGGCAAATGGCGTGGTCGGCAGGCAGTCCCACTCTGCGCTCCCCTTTCTGCCTTCTGGGTGCTGTGTGTTCACACACCATTCTGGCTTTGAGGTTGTGCAGTTATGTACTGTTCCTTTGTACTTACACTTAGTGTCATATCTAAGCAATGGTGGAACTCCAGAATTCAAAGGTGTCTGGGGGTTTCCTACAAATTTGATGATTTTAGTTATGAAATTATTTTGAGTTAGTTTTTGTATATGGTGTGAGATATAGGGGTCTCTATCTTTTTGGTGGTTTTGTTTTCTGTGCTTGGGTCTTGGTATGCTAGACGAGTGCTCTATAGCCCTGGCTGGCCTTGAGCCTCTGTGTGCTGGGTTACTTGTGTTCACAGCCATGCCTAGCCTGGGCTTTTATCTCACTCCAGTATTTATTTATCTTCTTACGGAAATAATGCATGCTTATTGTGAGGTAATGGCAAGTCCGGGGACACACTGGGGAGTGGGCTGTATTGGAGGCTTTCTCCGTCCTCGTAGTCAGAAGCTCCTCCTGCCCATGGAGTGTTTATCTTGCCTTTCCCCGAATATCTTATAGTATTCTTCTCTCACATCAGTTACTTCAGGACTGACCTTTCCCAGCTGTGCACCCTGCCTCCCGCCCCCCCACCCCCACCCCCACCCCCACCCCCACCCCCACCCCGTGTCAACAATCTTCCCTCTTTCTAGCCCTGTAGTTGCTGCACAGTTCTCAGACAATCTGATGCGACCGTTTGTCATCCACATCATGTCGGTACCTGCTCTGGTGACTCATCTCAGCACGGTGGCCCCTGAGGTGAGTGTGCCAAAGATGTCTCTGGTTTGTTTGTAGACTCCAAAAGCAAAACAGGTCCCCTGCTGGTTCCCACTCCTTCCCTCGGTTTCCCCGGTAGCTGGTGTAGACACGTTCCTGTTAGCAGCCAAAAACATCGGCTCCTGTTGTCGTCTTCCTTCTCCCCGATGCTTGAGAGCAGTGCTCTGCCTCGGTGGGGCACTGAGCGCTGTGAGGTCCCTGGCTCTCGGGAAAGCCCGCCCAGCCCCACGCTAACTGCCTACCATTGCTTTCAGCGTCTCAGTGTTTTAGAATCCCATGACATGCTTCGCAAATTCATCGTCTTTCTAAGAGACAGAGACCGATGCCTCGATGCTTGTGAAAGTTTAGAAGGCTGCCATACGCTGTGTCTCATGGGTGAGTCCAGGCGGCTGGGTTTGGCTTGCTTATGGCCTACGTGTTTTGTTAAGGGCATTAGCGCAGATAGATGATGAGCAGGTAGAATCAACTCAATGTACTGAGTAGACCCTGTGTGGTGGGTTGGCTGCAGAGTTCCTCCCGAAGGGGAGGGAGCTCTTGGGTGGGCTCAGAGCGCTGTCACTGTGTCACAGCATCTGTGGTAGGGGGTTTTGCAGGTGGATGCGTTTGAACACAGCAGAAACCTAATTCTCTGATAGAGCTGCCTAGGGATTGGTGCCCTGGGCCAGTGAAGCTAGCCCTAGTTACAGCCCCTGTGTCTTGGGCTGGACCCCAAGGGGAGAGTGCTTTGGTAAACACTGAATTCAGCCATCTCCCAGGACATCTTGCTAATGCCACATCTTGTGTTCCTCCTGACTTCTAGGTTTTACTGTCGTATTAAATGTGATACTCAGTATCGTGTGCCTCTGTAAGCCTGGCAGTCCAGTCTCTCCCTATAGTAGCCATAGGAGGAAGGGTGGGCACAAGCAGTCACTCCTGCCTTGTAGCCGAGGCTGCGCTTCAGGCTGGGTTGAGAGCTGTGTGCTCATCTGTGGCCATGCTGGGATTTAAAGTCAGGTCAGCCTGGTTCTTGCAGCCCTGGCCCTGACTGAAATCCCTGGAATAGACTCTCCTCCCTGCTAAGACACAGCTGCCTGAGCTGCAGACGGAGCAGAGCTGGGAGAGCCCACAGTGCCACTGTCTGTCCCCACGTGCAGCCGTCTCTCTCCCTAGGTAACATCCTCCACTTGGGCTCCCTCAACCCCAAGGTGTTAGAGGAAGAAACAGACGGGTTTGTCAGCTTGCTCACGCAGATGCTGTGCTACTGCCAGAAGTACGTGTCCCAGAAGAAGTCCAACCTCACCCACTGGCACCCTGTGCTCGGCTGGTTTTCCCAGTCTGTGGACTACGGGTATGCGCGAGAGAGCTTTCCGCCCACCGGTCCTCCCTCCCTCCCTCCTCCCCACCCCCTTCTCCCTCCCGCCAGTCCTCCCTCCCTCCCTCCCGTTCTCTTTCCAGCTTTCATGGTTTGGTTTTTCCTATAGAAATAATTCATATTTATTGTATAACATAGATACGGCCTGGGGATTGGCTCGCTGGTGGAGGGCTTGCCCAGCAGGTGCCAGGCCTTGGGTCCAGCTCAAGCCAAGAGAACATTAAACACCCTGGGACCCTCATATGCAAACGGCCTGAGTGATTGGCCCTGCCATCCTTGTCCTTTATTGATAGTTTTTGTTTTGTTTTGTTGTTCGGTTGGTTTTTGGTTTCTCAAGACAGGGTTTCTCTGTGGCTTTGGAGGCTGTCCTGGAACTTGCTCTGTAGACCAGGCTGGTCTCGAACTCACAGAGATCCACCTGCCTCTGCCTCCCGAGTGCTGGGATTAAAGGCGTGTGCCACCACCGCTGGAGTGACAGGCAGATACAGACTGGATGCCTTTGCAGACCCAATGGTGGCGGTTTCTTTATTCTGTTTCTTTGACAAGAAATTCCTTTTTTCTTTGTCTTGTTACTTCTTAGGCAAAGCTAATTATGCCTCTAATTGGCAACCCTCCAGCCTCCCGAGTGCTGGGATTGCAGGGCTTCTGACACAGTTGCACAGCTCTGCCCTTTTACTGTGTCCCCTGTATGAAGGCCACCCTTGAGGAGAGCATGCTCTCCCCAGGGGACAGTGGGTAGCACTGACAACACCTGTCTCCTGCTCTGTCCTAGCCTCAACGAGTCCATGTACCTGATCACCAAACAGCTGCAGTTCCTGTGGGGGGTGCCCTTCATCCGCATTTTCTTCTGTGACATCCTCAGCAAGAAGCTGCTGGAGCACCCTGAACCCGCCCCTGCGCAGCCGTCCTCCCCACAGAACGTGCTCCCAGTGAAGAGTGAGTGGCCACACCCAGCCGAAGGGCAGCTCCTGGGCCTCGCTGCCTGTGGGACACTGCCATCTGCAGGCTGCGTGGGTCCACGTTCAGTCGGGCATAGAAATGAGAGCCAGTGAGCTAGAACGCCGCAATCAGCACGTTCGGGGTTCGCTCCCCTGTCTCTGAGCTTCAGCTGGCCTGCGAACTTCCTGACAGCCAAAGAGAAAAGAGTTTTGTGGGCACTTTCTTTCTTATTACCGGGGAGGAGAGGAGCAGAAAGTCCTTTCTGTAAGGGACTTTAAGCTTTTTTTAGTTTAGTTGTAAATCTCGCACATAGGACTCCTCCAAGGAGCCACTGAGGCACAGGCCAGGCTGGCACCTCAGCAGCACCCGAGGTAGAAGTGGGCACCGAAGAAAGGGAGGGTTCTCATTCTGCTGTGGTCACAGCTGTGCTCACAGTTAAGGAAATGTCACCAGCAGACACTGCTGAGCCGGGATGGGGATGGTTCTGCCGCTGGTGGGTGGTGGTGAGTGTGGGCTCCACCCACGCATGGCTTCCTCTGCCTAAGAACAGAAAAGCCAAAGGCGGAAGTGGAATGCCAGTCAGCCAGGCCTCAGGGCCTCAGGGTGTCCGGGGCACTCCCTCCAAAACACAGACACCGTGCCTGGGCCCAGCCCCTGCCTCCCTCCCTCCTCCGATGCAGCCCTCAACATGTCCCCTCTGTCTTCATGGGATTTGGTGATACCGTAAGAGAGTGCATGGCAGAGGGACACGCCTGCCTTACGCTGACAGGTGTAAGGTGATCAGGACAGGCCTCTGGGCTGCACCGAAAACCCGTGTTAGCTTTTTCCCACGGGTTATCCCAAAGGAAGGCGTTGAGCCCGTGCAGCAGCTGCCGCCCCTCCACCCCCTCACCCACCCCCACCCGTGACTGGGGTTCTCGCCGCGCTCTTCCTCCACAGGTAGGAGCTGGCAGCTGAGTTTGTGCTGTGCATCTTTTTCCCTCCGTACCAGGTCTCCTCAAACGAGCATTTCAGAAGTCGGCCTCAGTTCGGAACATCCTCAGGCCTGTCGGGGGCCGGCGTGTAGACTCCGCTGAGGTGCAGAAGGTCTGCAGCATCTGTGTCCTCTACCAGACCTCACTGACGACTCTCACCCAGATCCGCCTGCAGATCCTCACAGGTCACACAGCCCCAGCCCGTTGCCCCCACTTCCAAAGTTGGTACCCAGTTTGTCCTAGAAAAAGCTAACCTTTCCTTCCTGGCTTCCTTGACTCCGAAAATAGACTTTGTAGGTGAGCATTTTGAGCTGTTCTTAGAGACTGGTGATAGCTCAAAGCAGCCTGGTCATAGCCCTGGCGTCTTGTTCCCCTTGCTAGCCCTTTAATTACAAAGTGCAGCTTTCTTAAAGTTCCCTTTTATGTAGAACACGAAGATGAGGGGCAGGAAGAAGAAAATCAAAGCACTTGCCCCGTTACGCCCCAGCAGTGGTCACGGGTGCCCAGTGTGCTCACACACAGTGTGGATGCACGCAGACACACACATCTCATCTTACCCTTTTCTGCCCATCACTCGGAACCAAGTGTCATGCCAGTTCTCCAGACACCTCAGTTTTATTGGTTGCGTGATACTCATTGCATGGGTATGCCCCACGTTTTCTTTTAACTGAGCAAGGAAGTCTCCTCTGTAAGGACAGACCTGGGGCTGTCCATTCAGGTGCAGCCCAGGTGTCATGGTATGAACTGATCTGAGCATAGGTGTCCTTTCCTGCTTCAGAAAAAGGTTGTAGACCACTGTGTGTGTGGATTAAAATGTGGCTGCTGCATCAGGTAGACCCAGGTTCTCTCTGGCCCTGACTCCAGCCATGGGACAGGGACAGTCACTGAGTCTCACTGTGCTTCAGGCCCCTTATAAGGCAGGCTTTGTGGGTGGGGCTGCTCAGGAGCCTTGCACAGTGGTCTGGGCTTGTGAGCATCCAGCAGCGGCGGCTGCCCCTGCAGTTGTGACTCAGTGTGGAAAAGCTCTTGCTGCTCGTCCTTCTCTCGCATGCTGGCTTCAGTGGGAAGGAAGAAATGTCAGAGCCGCTGGGGTCCCCGCCTGAAGCCTGGGTTTTCCTCCTTTTCCAGGGCTTACATACCTCGATGACTTGCTGCCCAAGCTGTGGGCATTTATCTGTGAGCTGGGGCCTCACGGAGGGTTAAAGCTCTTCTTGGAATGCTTGAACAATGACACCGGAGAGTCCAAGCAGCTCCTGGCCATGCTGATGCTGTTCTGTGATTGTTCCCGGCACCTCATCACGTAGGTTGATGTGGGCTGAACGCCCCGCTAGGACTCAGCAGGGGGTCAGCAGTGTGGGGAAGCAACTGCACCCGTGCAGCCAAGAGGTGGGCGTGGTGGTGCACGCTGTCATCGCAGCTGCTCAGGAGGCTGAAGCACAGCAGCCCAGCCTGGTCAGCACAGCAAGAACCCATAATCCCGTGCACCTCACACACACACACACACAAGGCAACATTCACAAAGCAGGTGGCACGTGCCAGGTGTGCAGCTGCGGCCCTGGCAGGTCTCTGGAGAGGTGTTCAAACCACACCTCAGCCACTTACTCTGACAAGTAGACTACAGGGAAACTCCGGACTCAGACAGCAGGGTGTAAAACCCAGGCCAGTTGTTCACCGCGACACCAGTTTCCTCGTCTGTGAATGAAGTAGCGCCCGCTCCCACCTCTGGGTCAGTGCCCGGTGCTTACAGCCCAGTTGTCAAGCCAACTCTGAACAGCTGGGTTGGGCTTGCTGAGCCTCGGTCTCCCCTTCACCTACCCTGTCACCTACCATAAGAGAAACCATTTAGAGCGTGGTTAGGCCGATCCTGGGACACTGGCTGGAACCCTCCTGTCCTCTTCAGGCCCCTGGAAAGTTGTAGAATGGACCTCAGGCAGCGGCGTTCAGACGGGAAGATCTTGTATCGAGAGGGTACAGGGACATGTAGCTGACTGACTGGTGCTCTAGAAGAAGGGCTCTAGTGAACAGGGTTAACCCCCTAATGGCTGAGGCAAGGCTGAGCTGTGTCCTAAAGCATGTGGAGAGGTTTCTGGAAATTTCCTGTTGAGCCATGACATGCATTCATCAGTTCATTCATTTATACGTTCTTTCAAACATTCATTCACTCACAAGCACCGAGGGCCATGGCCTCGCTCTTAGAAGTGGGATCTGGTTTCACAGGGTTCCTCAGTCAGCACCAGCTGATTCGAGACTCCTTTATACTCGGACACGGATGAGGCGTGATGGAGAATGTGCCACGGGCAGCCAGCCCACTGGGAAAGCCCTGAGTAGAACTTAACTATTTTTCCTAATTGTTCTGTGTGTCTTCCTACTCTGAACGATGTCAAGTAAACAGAAGGCAGAAAAATTAGCGAGCCCTCAGGAGCCATCTGCAGCTCATGGCCGACTTGCCTGCCTCATCTAACACTCAGCAGCTCCCTCCCTGTTGCCCTCTCTGAGGCAGGTCTTAGCCATCACGCCGTTTGTCTGCAAATATGTGCAAGATGTATCTAGAAAAGCCAGTGCGGCTTTTTTCACCTTGTTTGTTTTGTCTAGAAGACAGTGAGGTCTCATGTGTTTCCTTTTCTCAATGGAAAATTCTGAACAGTTTTCTGCCCCGTGTAGCATCCTCGATGACATTGAAGTGTATGAAGAGCAAATCTCATTCAAGCTGGAAGAACTAGTCACCATCTCCTGTTTCCTCAATTCCTTCGTGTTTAAGATGATCTGGGACGGGATCGTAGGTAAGGCGAAGGTGGCCGCGCTCTTCTTTGGTGCTATCCCAGGAGGCCACTCTGTGCCCTCAGCTTCGTTGCTTATTGAAGGTGGTGGAGAATGCTTGTCTTCTCACATGGCGTGGTGGCTCATGAGACAGGGGTGTGGCTGCAGAGGTCTCTCTGCCAGCTCCTTCGGGCTGTGCATGTGGGGTTGTTACTAGTGACGAGCTCTGCCCTGAAAGGGCCTTTACATGGACACTCGGTTTCCATGGGGATAGGGCCTGTGCCAGTTCCTGCTGTGGGCAAGTCTGCTTTCTGACATGTCTCTGTTAGTCCAGTCTTAAGCTCCTTAGAGGAAATATTCCCCTGAAAGATGCACAAGCCCTAGGGACATTTGGAACACTCCCAGAGAGCCTGTGTGTGGTTCCAGAGCTCAGGCCCAACATGCTGAGCGCCGTCCTCCATCTCTGACCCCTTCTTTACTGCACAGAGAACGCCAAGGGAGAGACCTTGGAGCTGTTCCAGTCCGTCCACGGGTGGCTGATGGTGCTGTATGAGCGCGACTGCCGGCGGCGCTTTGCTCCTGAGGACCACTGGCTTCGAAAGTGAGCCGGGTGGGGCAGGCGGGCGAACCCCGACCCCCCCCATGCCCACAGTACGGGTGCCGGCTGCTTGGCATTTGCACTCAGGGCAGGCGATGAGCCTTCTCTTCTCTTGCATGGGCCCTGTCCGTTTGTCTGTAAGGAAGGAGCTGCTGTTTCTAAAGCACCTGCCTGGGTGTGTCACATAGCAGTGGCTTCTGTCCTCCCGTGCCACTCCAGTCCCGTGACGGCGAGGCCACTCGGCGGCTGTCTCATCTAGGCTGGGAAGAGAGGGTCTCTGGGCAGAATTACCGAAGTGAAAATTGCTTCCAGATTTGGGGAAGTGTGCCGGGAGCCCCGTGACAGCCGCTGAAGGAGCATTTCTGTCCGTGACGAGTCAGATCTCAGGGAGTGGTTGCAGTTGTGACTCTAGGTAGAGCAGGGCCTTACAAACGCTGCCATGAAGGGCTGTGTGGGCCAGACAGCCTCTGCCCTACTCCCTGGGCTGTGGGGCTGTGGAGACAGCCCCAGACCAGCACACAGGAATAAGCAGCTGAGGCTGTATCCCGTAGGACGGCCAAAAGAGGGCAGCACCGCACTCAGCCACAAGTCCTACACTAGAGAAGGCTTTTCTGTTTGGTGATGCCTGTGTCTCTCCTGAAGGGATCTCAAGCCCGGCGTGCTCTTCCAGGAACTTGACAGGGACCGCAAGAGGGCTCAGCTGATCCTGCAACACATCCCCCATGTTGTTCCTCACAAGAATGTGAGTTGACCTCTGTCTGCTCTCCATTATGTTTGGAAATGTCTGCGGGGCGTCACGCATGCACACGTGTCTGCGGGGCGTCACGCATGCACACGTGACTGTAGGGCGTCATGAACCCCGCATGTGTCAGTGGGGCCCCGTGCATCCGCATGTGTCTGTGGGGCCCCGTGCATCCGCACGTGTCTGTGGGGCATTACAAATCCCACACACACAATGGTGGTCTGTCCTACTCGGGCAGCTTGTACTAAGTACTGGGGCACACCCGGGAGGCGGTGGAGTCGGGACGTGGGGCGTGTGCTGTGTTAGTCCCAGCACACGACCTCATGGATCCCTCTGAGAGGAAGCAGGGTCAAGGGAGGGCTCCATGTGATGGAGGGAAATCCTAACCCAGCAGGTTACCCTCTGACCTCCACACCTGCACAAGCACGTGTACACACAAAGCAATCAGCTGATGTAAGTGAAAAATAATTTTAATTAGAAAATAATTGTCAGTAATCTCCCATTGATTTGCTTTCCCATAACTTGGATTTCAGTTTCGATTTTGCATTAGATGAAGTCCTAGAGCTACTGTGTGAGATTTAAAGTAACTTTTAAACTTAGATTTCATCTACATCTATCAGTAAGAATTTTCTAGATCATGGAAAGTGGGATATTCACTATGCTGTAACTCAGAAACATTAAAAATTGTATATTCAACTCAGAGGGAAGTGAGGGGGAGGGACAGCTTCACGGCCTGGGATGAGAGACTGCAGTCCAGCAGGAAGGGCCTGGGAGAGCCACCCCACCTTAGGGAGATAGGCAAAGCAAGTCTGCAAGCCACAGCAGGAGGCTGCTGCAGCTCCCTGGGCAACAGGGATCTTCCTGGTAGGGTACCATGGCCAGCTGAGGGGAGAGGCTGGGGCTCCATCGGAGAATACGAAGACAGTAGGGAGCCAGGGGATGTGCTGTCTGTCCCTGGGGCACACTGAGGCCTTGGGAAGGGTCGGGCAGTAGGGTAGGAGCATCTGGGATGTGCTGGGCACAGGGACAGTACCGTGCCCCCTCAGAAAAGGCCCTCTCTTGCCCCCCCCCCGATACATATTTAGAAAAGAGCTAAAGTGAAACGCTGTGATTCTTACTCCAGAGACACCACGTCGTCACTGCTGACTCCTGCCTGAGCAGTGGTGTGCCAGCCATGCGGCTTCTTAAACTCCCGCCCCACTGACAGGTCCTTAGGAATGAGGGAACTGCCTGGACTTACTCAGTCAATGAGCCCTCCCTGAGAGACCACACACACACACACGCACACGCACGCACGCACGCACGCACGCACACACACACACCTGGACTTACTCAGTCAATGAGCCCTCCCTGAGAGACCACACACACACGCACGCACACACACACACACACACACACACACACACCTCTGCTAGAAATTCCACAGCTTGGGGAAGCCAGCTGTCCTGTGCTGTGTCTATGAAGGACAGTGTGCTCCTCCTCACCTTTAAGTGCCTACTGCTTGGTAATGTCCGCCCTCTGTCCTTGAACAGCCCGAAAAGTCAGAGTGTCTAATCTGAGGTTGAATCTTCTAAGATTTGCCGTGGCTGCCATCCTCCTTGTGAATCTGAATCTTCCATTTTCTGCCGGGCAGGGGTGTGAGGTAGGGTAGGGTGAGGAGGTAACCTGGGTGTGAGCTCTGGCTTGAACTTGGTCCCACCGTCCTGGAGAGAGTGGTCCTCACTCAGGCGTCTGCTGGGGTCACTGAGAGCTCCCAGCCTCTTCAATGTTGGATAAGTTTGCCTTGACCCCCTCCCCTGCAATGCCCCATGGAATAATCTAGAGCCCAGAGGCCCGTAATGCTCCCATAAACCCCTGCGTTCCCAGCTCCATGTCTGGGGATGTTGTTATCCACATGTCACAGGTGACCCCGATAGAGTTGGAGTCATAGTGCCGAGTGACGTAAATACTGTTTCCAAGCTGCTGAGCGAGGGAGAGCGGGAGCCACTGGTACTCCTTCTGCCCCCCCCCATGATCTTGGGACCCTCAGAACTTGTGATGGATGTGGAGCATGGTCCTTTTTCTTAATTCTGGTACCTTATGGAGAGACAGGCCTTCCACTGAGTTCCTATGTTGCCTTGGAAGCCACTGGCCTCCCCTGTACCGCAGGATTGTGGGCATGTGGTGCTGTGCCCAACTTGGTTCTGCTGCTCTCATCTGTACTTAACGAAGCTCCTGGTTTTTAGGACTAGCCTCATATTGTTTATTCATCAGGAGGTAGTGGCCATAGGTCCCCTCGGGTAACAGATTCTGCCTGGTGGCAGGGTACCAAGGCAGAGGTGGGTATTCATGGCTTTTTGCTTTGCTTTTTAAGACTTACTTTGTATGTGGAAACTTTGTCCGCATGTTTCTGTGCAGCATTGCATGCTCGCCTGCTGCCTGCAGAGGGCAGAAGAGGGCATCCTACTACTCTGTAACTTATTAGAGATGATTGTGAGCTGCCGGTGGGTGCTGAGAACCAGCTCTGTGAGAGCAACTGTGTTCTTAAGAGCTGCGCCATCCCCGCTCCCAGCTCTGCTTTTGAAAGAACTGCTGTGGCTGGTATGCGTGCTCAGGCAGCTGACCTCATGGGGCGCTGAGGTCCCTGCACCTGGGCTGTGTGCTCAGCACTCTCTGTGAGTGCTCAGTGAGTGCCTCATGCTTGTGTCCCCCGCTGCTGCTGAGAAGCCAAGAAGATGGCTTGAGGCCAGCCTGAGTCACATGTTTGTCAGAGCCCTGAGGCTGAGGGGGCAGGGTGCCGAGAGGTGACTGAAAACCTACTGTGGCAGGTCTGAGGACCCAGGAGGCAGACAGAAAGGCTCATTTGTCATACCTGACAATGGGAAAAATCGTCTTCTAATGGTTTTTGTGCCTGAAGTTCATGATATTGATTTCCTTTAGAGTAGGCACATCTGTCAAAACCAGCCTGTGTTGGTGGCTGTGCCCCTGGGCTTCTGAGACCGGTATTGACTGGTCCTAGCTGGGCCCCAGCAGTAGCCAGGCATCTCTCAAACACTCCTGCCTTGGTGCAAGTTTCGCTGTATTCCTAATTCCATGAGGTTCTTTGGGGGGTGCTCCCTGTTCCCGGGGGACACCTCTGAACCGCAGCACACAGCACATCCTGCTCTCATCCATCTCGGCTGTTCCGCACGGTGGGTTCCGGTTGTCTTTTTTCTGGTATTAGTGGCTGAGCCTGTTTCTGGTCTCACCTTTGCTCATTTCAGAGAGTCCTCCTGTTCCGGAATATGGTTACCAAGGAGAAAGAGAAGCTGGGGCTTGTGGAGACCAGCTCTGCCTCCCCTCACGTCACTCACATCACTGTCCGAAGGTCCCGGATGCTGGAGGTGAGTGGCCACTCACAGACAACAGTGCTGTGCCGGGTGGATCTGGTGGACAGCTACGCTTCAGACTGTCCTGAGCCTGTGGGGTGAAGACTCAGGGAGGCCTCGAGCGCGGAGGGAGCGGGGAGGGGCGTTAGCCAATCAGCTGCAGAGGAGCTGCTCAGTCCAGCATGTCCTCAGTTATTCCTTTGCGCTGTGAGGGGACACACAGGCTCCTAACCCTCTGTGAGACAAGGGCAGGGGCTCAGTCTCCTCCACTCCCACTGCTCCAGCCCGGTGGCTTGGATGGAGCGCTCTCATCGGACTTCCTCAGGGAAGACAACCCCGGCACCAGGCAGCGGGCGCCAGTTTGCTGACGTTAGCTAAGATGTTAGCTGATACCCTCCTCCCAGATGACTCTAGCTTGTGTCAAGGTGACACAGAACTAGCCAGCACGTGTGTTGTACACTTGGAACGTGTGTATGGGGCTCTGGATAGGAGACATGCACTCATTATCTGCATTTACTGCTCTTAGCTTCCAGAGCTGTGGCTCACACCGGGGCCTGGCATGGGCCAAGCTCACCTTACCACACTCTGCCAGAGCCATGCCCCACAGGCAGCTGTGTTCTGAGCGAGCTGACCACTGTTTCGCAAAGCTCAGACACCCCCCCCCCCAGCTGTTTACCCAACATCTCCACTTCCCCTGCGCTCTGGCTCCCAGCTTGTCTCCGGGCTAGAAGGCGAGCCGGCTGCTCTGACTTCTGCCCATCCCCAGTTGCCTTCCGCACCAGGACCCGGGGTTTCCCTCTCACTGTGTCTTGCAAGCCTGACTCTTCCCGTGAGCTGAAATATACTCTCTGTATTAAAGAAGGGAGATGTCCATATTGACCCAGCTTCCTCCACCTTTGATGGCCAGAGCTAGCACGATCTAATTTCTGACTCAGTCTCCTCATGCCAAGGAGTGGGTTATCCTATCCATCGGAAGAACCCTCGCACGGGCTCCAACCCTGACTCGCGTGGTTAGACTCCTGGCTGGGTTTGCTGAGGCTGCGCTCCTCAGAGGTTGAAACTCTGTCTTGCTAGGACGGCTACGAACAGCTTCGCCAGCTCTCCCAGCATGCCATGAAGGGTGTGATCCGAGTGAAGTTCGTCAACGACCTTGGGGTGGATGAAGCTGGCATCGACCAGGATGGTGTCTTTAAGGAGTTTTTGGAGGAGATCATCAAGAGGGTGTTTGACCCAGCACTCAATCTGTTCAAGGTGGTCAAGGGGGAGCTGCTGGGGTTGGCAGCAGCCGGACACGGGAAACCAATGGGAGCAAGGGCAGCTCTCAACTCCACCTCTCCCTGTCCTTCTCCTGGCAGACAACCAGCGGAGATGAGAGGCTCTACCCCTCACCCACATCCTACATCCATGAGAACTACCTGCAGCTCTTCGAGTTTGTGGGGAAGATGCTGGGGAAGGCAGTCTATGAGGTAGGCCCTCAAAGGCGTGCGGAGCAAAGTGTGGTGACCCTTGAGAGTGGGGCATGGTGGCACACCCTGTAACCCTGGCATGGGAGACATAGCGAGACCCTAACTCCAAGAGAAGAAAAGCATGGTCCGGCGGTGCTGGCGCACGCCGTTAATCCCAGCACTTGGGAGGCAGAGGCTGCGGATCTCTGAGTTCAAGGCCAGCCTGGTCTACAGAGTGAGTTCTAGGACAGCCAGGGCTACACAGAGAAACCGTGTCTTAAAAAAAATTGATTAAAAAACAAAACAAAACACGTAGTGACACGTGAGAGGTGACACGTGAGAGGTTTGTTTTGAGAATGGGACCCAGAGTTTCACGTGTTCGATAGCACTCCGAGGCTGACACACCCCAGCCGAGTGCTGAAATCTGTCATTTGGTTCCTTTTTACGTGTATTGACGTTTTGTCTGCATGTCTGTCTGTGTAAGGGTGGCAGATCTCCTGGAACTAGAATTACAAACTGTTGTGAGCTGTCAGGTGGCTGCTGGGAATTGAACCCAGGTCCTCTGGAAGAACAGCCTGTGCTCTTAACCTCTGAGCCATCTATCCAGCCTTGAAATCTGTTATTTGAGTGGATATTTCAGAAGAAGACGGAGCTTCCTGGGAGTTCGCAAACTAGAGCAGAAAGATTGGGCGTGGCCTGGGTGTGGCAGGCACCTGACACCTTCCTTCCTCGGGGAAGTGGGTTGTCCTCCATGGCGAGAGCTGCAACTGGCACTAGGTCTCCATCGCAAGACTGCTGTTGGCTTCTGCTCCTTGGGCTCGTGGGGTCAGGGTGGTGGGGGACTCTGGGGGTCTCTCGCAGCTTCTGGTGCCCGTCCATGGACACCCAGGTGTGGGAGCTGCCTGTCCGCTGAGCCGCAGGGCCTCTGCCCAACACCGTTGCTGTCTGAGACCCCTCGCTAGGTTGTTAGGTCATTTCTTAGATGGCAGGGAGGTACAGCTCCAGACTGATCCCTAGACATCCCTGGTGCAATCAGGCTACGCCTGAAGCCAGACTGCTCAGCTGATGACTGAGTCCCTACCCTCTGTCTCTTCTAGGGCATCGTGGTGGACGTGCCCTTTGCCTCTTTCTTCCTGAGCCAGATGCTCGGGCACCACCATAGCGTCTTCTACAGCTCTGTGGATGAGCTCCCGTCACTGGACTCAGAGTTTTATAAAAACCTCACCTCCATCAAGGTGAGTGCTGAGTGGCGGGTAACTTAAGTGCGCACCATTGTGGTTCAGTGAGCACAGGGGCTGGAACGGCCCCACCCACCTCTCAAGCCCCCTCACACCTGAGGCTCAGCCTCTTCCACACGACATGGGCCTCTGCCTGGAGGTGAGGCAACTCAGGCAGCTATCCGTGGCCTCTCAAGGAGGGAAGGCTGCCCACACACCCCAGTACTTTCTCTGTCCCATTAGCGCTATGATGGAGACATCGCTGACCTCGGGCTGACACTGTCTTACGATGAAGACGTCATGGGTCAGGTATGTGGGCTAATCTGGCAGGCTTCTTCCAGTCCTAAAACCTGCCAGTTCGTGGGGCTTCCCTCAGAAATCTGCCCACTGAGGATCTGTCTGTCACCTGGCCAGGAGAGAGGGTTCCTTGTTTCTTCTCTTCCGGCTTGGCCTTTGCATGCTCTCCTCAGCCAGCTCCCGCAGAGCCTGTGGCACATCCTGGGACTTGAGACAGTTTCTGCCTCTGCCCAGCCTTCCTGTTCTAGTCTGTGGGAAGCTGTGAGCCTCAGTATGGAGATCTCTGCTGAGGACGGCTGTATAAATGGAGGTTTCTGACCTGAGGAGAAGTCCTCTAGGGGGCAGGCCCTGGAGGCAGGCTGGCAGAGAAGCTGCTCCTGGCACAGCTCTCCCATGCCCTCTGCCCCTGTGTCGCTGTGGAGGCGCCCTGCCCGTGGAGCCTCAGGTCTGCTCTGGAGAAACCGTGAGCACATTGGTGCAGATCTGGCTTCCCAGACTCAGCCTGTGTCACCTCAGTGGTCATTCGGTCTCTGTAGTGTCTGTAGCACCTGTGTCTGGAGTGCGCTCCTGTAATGTATGCCCCCCCCCATGCCTTTCCTGCTTTCCCACAGGCATACATACCTGTGTATGCTCCGACACATGAGTGTGTTCATCCTGTGTGTGCTCGTGAACAGCAGTGCCCATGCACAAGTGTGTGTATTCGTGCATGTGTGTACATGAGAGCATGAGTGCCCATGCATGAGTGTGTGTGTTCATGCATGTGTGTGCATGCGAACATGAGTGCCCACGCACGAGTGTGTGTGTTTGTGCATGTGTGTACATGCACATGTATTGCAAAGGTGATACCATGTCTCTGCAACATAATCCCCCCCCCCCAGTAAGTCCATTCTTTTATCAAATTTTTGGGTAGCCATGCAGTATTCCCAAGTGTGGGTGTTCACACTCACTGCAGCCCTCGGCACTAACATGTCTCCTGTGTGCGTTCACACCCACTGCGGCCCTCGGCACTAACATGTCTCCTGTGGGTGTTCACACCCACTGCGGCCCTCGGCATTAACATGTCTCCTGTGGGTGTTCACACCCACTGCGGCCCTCGGCACTAACATGTCTCCTGTGGGTGTTCACACCCACTGCGGCCCTCGGCACTAACATGTCTCCTGTGGGTGTTCACACCCACTGCGGCCCTCGGCACTAACATGTCTCCTGTGGGTGTTCACACCCACTGTGGCCCTCGGCACTAACATGTCTCCTGTGGGTGTTCACACCAACTGCGGCCATCGGCACTTCTCCCTCTGTGCCTGGCATCCAACATCCTTAGTGCACATGTATGGACAAGGATTAGATGAGAAACCTTTCCTGTGGATCACATGAGGCCTGTTTGTTGATACTTCGTTCCTAAGGTTTTGTGAGAAATGATGGTTCTCAAACACATAGCATCTTAATTCCACCATTATCATGGTCGATTGTGCCGGGTCCTTGCATCTTCCCTGTTTAGAATTCTCCCTAGTAATTACTCCCGTCTTCTCCCCCAGCTTGTCTGCCATGAACTGATTCCTGGAGGGAAAACCATTCCTGTTACAAATGAAAATAAGTGAGTATAGCAATTGGACGTTTAAGGTCAGCACTTGAAAAGACTTCACTCCGGCTCCTGGAGTTATGCTGAGAATTTATTAAGATAGATTGAGGCAGGAAGAGGCTATAAATATCATAATGGAATTTTCTGGCTATAGTTCATAGGCTGGAATTGTATTAAATTCAATTTGCAAAATAAGAGTGGATGGTTTACCCTTAGCAGAGCACTTTGGAAGGTCAGAGGCACTGGCCACTGTTCTTAGGAATATAGTAATGGCTCCACTGAGACAGGAAGGGAGCCTGAGCAGCTCAGGCCTGCTGCCCCGTGGGCAGGCGGGCAGGGGGGACACTTGAGAGTGACTGTGTGGGAATTCCGATGTGGCAGACACACACTTAGGGTTTCAGGGCTTGCTGAGGGCAGCAGCTCCTGCTACAGATAATGTGCTTTCGACCCCAGATACAAACCCTCAACAAGCCCTGCGCCCAGTCCTCTCTGCCTAATTCAGGGTTAATTAAGGGTGGAACTTGGCAGGAGGAGGGGCACTGGGCCTCTTGTCCCTTTTCTGCCACGCCCACTTGGGATTTGAACTAATTGCCTAAGCATTCATCTGGACAAGGGCAGAGGAGGGCTCAGACCCCTGCACCTCGTCCGGCTGTGCTCAGCTAGTCTGGTAGCCAGTTGACTACCAGAAGAACAGACAGTGGTCAGCAGCACCGGGACACCTCAGCGCTGCCCTGTAGCCACAGGACAAGCATTGCCCACAGGGAAGAGATGGCTGAGGTTTGGGCCTTGGTGCAGGGGTGAGTCCTGGGCCTGCCTGTGCGTGACCTGTGACCGTTCCTAATGGGGCAGAGTGTGGAATGATGTATAGCACCACTTGAGAGATCTAGCTGAAAAGGGGGCATAAAAGTTTTCATAGCAGATATGGGACATGTCCTATGCATCCTGTCCACCCCCAGGGAGCTGTGTGTGTGTGTGTGAGCGCATACTCACACTCACACAGAACAGTTAGGAAAGGTGAGTTCACACAGGCTGAAAGGCCAGGGAGTAAGTCTACATAGGCTGAAGGTCCGGGAAGGTGAGTTTGAGCAGGCTATGCTGGAACAAGATTCTTATCCTGCCATGAAGCCTAATGGAAATTTGTGTCATAACTCTGGCCTAAGGTGAAGCCTCAGAATATGGCAAGGATACCTGGTCCTGATATGACTTGGGCCTGGCAGTGCCTACTTACCCCCAGGCCACACACACACACACACACACACACACACACACACACACACACACACACACACAACCACACAAAGTATTGGTAATCTTCATAGAATACATGGAAGGAGAAGTTAATAAAAAAATTAACATTTGAAAGGTAGTAATATATAATGTTTGTTGCTGAATGCTTTTTAAACTAGAAATACTTCAAGGTCAGTAACTTTGGCCTGAACATTGTGGGGCAAAACAGAAATATTTGGGCTATACTTAACATGGAGGGTTTTTTTTGTTTGTTTGGTTTTTTTTTTGTTTTGTTTTGGTTTGGTTTTTTTTTTTTTTTTTTTTTTTTTTTTTTTTTTTTGTTTTTTTTTTTTTTTTTTGTTTTTCGTTTTTCCAAGACTGTTTCTCTGTGTAGCCATTACTGTCCTGGAACTTGCTCTGTAGACCAGGCTGGCTTAGAACTTGGAGGTCCTCCTGCCTCTGCCTCCGGAGGGGAACATGGAGTTTTTAACAGTGTTCTTGGGTGTGTTTGCCAACAGATCAACAACTCCGGCAAGCTTGCTGGAGTGTCGGCCTGTGGCTGGAGATAAGCTTGATCAGGGTGCATGAACACAAGCAGAAGCCCCTTTGCCGGTCAGTATTAGCTCACCTGACCTCCCTGTTTAGCCTTGGAGTCATCCCGCTGCATTGTGAGAGAACACTGGGCCCATCTAGCACCACGGGCTCTAGTAGAATTGTGATTGTTGGAGCGCTAAGCTGTGTCCTTGAGAGTGTCCAAATGGGATTCACCAGTGCAGGTGGCTCTTCAACTCTGGAGAACATGGAGGTCATCCCAGGGAGTTATATTGGGGACTGTGGGGACAAGTGAATGAGGCCATGCCTTGGACACTTGATACTGTCATCATGACACACAATGTGTGCCTTGGGAGCTACTATTGTAGGCGTCACCGTCATTGTTCTGATATTCTGATAGATGCTTGAGTGTGGCTTGGTTTTTTTTGTTTTATTTTGTTTTGTTTTTGAAAATGGTTCAAAAGTGTTAGGCTTCTCTCCTAGCCCATTTGGCAGCAGCTGGCCCCGGACTATTAGTTCCATTATTTCTCTTTCTTGTTAACAGAATTAGCTACATCCATCTGATGGCACATTTTCGAATGCACACGCAAATCAAGAACCAGACAGCTGCTCTCATTAGTGGTTTCCGTTCTATTATTAAGCCTGAGTGGATCCGAATGTTCTCTACCCCTGAGCTTCAGCGTCTCATCTCTGGGGACAACGCCGAGATCGACCTGGAGGATTTAAAGTAAGGGGCAGTGAGGATGGAAGGGTGTAGAAGGGGAGCCGTCCCTTCGCTGGGCTCGGTCTAATACAGAGCCCTTCGGGGAGCCCCTGAGGCTCCAGCACTGCGGTCCTGGTTGACGGCAGAGCCGTTCTGGAGCCTCTGCCCATTCAGCTTCCAGGGGATGGGGCCGTGACATGTGAACATGTGTGGGTGATGTGAACATGTGTGGGTGCAGCTGCCTGCCTGTCCCCGTGAGTGCCGGCACACTGCTGAGCCTCCCTCTGGATTGCTTTTAGGAAGCACACGGTGTACTACGGAGGCTTCCATGGGAGCCACAGGGTCATCATCTGGCTCTGGGATATTCTGGCTTCTGACTTCACACCCGATGAAAGAGCCATGTTCCTGAAGGTATCTCATTACAACTTCTTTATGTGTTCCTGAATGCGTGCACGGTCCTCAGGCCACTCTGGAATTCACACTGAGCACAGTAAGGTTATCCAGAGGGCCACACAATGTCAGCATAGCCTTGCTCATGTGCCAGAGGCTGAGGAGCCAGAGAGGGGCTGGAGAGATGGTGCCTGGCTGCTGGCTGCTCCTCCGTTGGAGCAAGTCCTGTGCCGCTCTGCTCCACCCTGACGTCTTTAGTGCTGTCTCAGAGCTCTAAGACAGTGGCGCACACCTTTAATCCCGGCACTCAGGAGGCAGAGGCAGCAGGATCTCTGAGTTCAAGGCCAGCCTGAGTTCCTGGACAGCCAAGGCTGGGCTGCACAGAGACACCCTGTCTCAAAGGAAGGAAGGAAGGGAGGGAGGGACAATCCTAAATATGCTCCAGTGTAGTTTCTCCCACGTAAGGGACTACCCCTGTGCCCTTTCTCAGTGGTGTAAAACATGCATCACACATGTGCACAGATACAGTGTCCCAAGGGAACACCGATGTGTAGCTGACAGCCAGCACTGTGTCTTGTTTTGAGGGAGTGCAGGTGTTGAATCAGGTTCTCTCTGTGTAGCCCAGGCTGGACTTAGTAGCCTAGACTGCTTGTCCTCCTGCCTGGCAGCCTGAGCACTACAGCTCTAGGTGTCGCCTCTATGCCTAGCTTATTTACACTTTGTCATGTACAGTATCTGTCACTAACTGTTTGCTGCCCTAGTACCGGTGAAGACTTGAGTGTCCACTAGGTCCCTCGGTGTCACTGGTTTTGATGAATGACCTCTACAGAGTGAAGCATTTATAGGACACTGAGTGACACATGCCTTTCTCTGTTGTGTGTGCAGGTTGTCATTAAAAACGCATCATGGTTTTGCCACTTGCTTTCTTTCTCTCTGAAAAGACCTGGTCTAGAAGTACACTTAGCACCTTGGAATCTTTTCCCTAAGACCTCCTGGCTGGCTTGCATACTTTGTCTCTGTCTCTGTCAACGGAGTTTGTTTCCTGGCTAGTCCCGCAGCCATTTAGGCCCAAACAAATACACAGAGGCTTAAAGTAATTATAAACTGTTTGGCCAATGGCTTTTGACTGGCTAACTCTCTCTTAATTATAATTATTAACCAATGTCTACTAATCTGTGTGTCCCCATGTGGTTTTGGCTTACCAGAGAATGCCCTGTGTCCTGTCTTGGTAGCTCCATGGCGCCCCCTGGGGGCCTCTCTCTGCCTCCTCCCCAGAGTCCCCCTGGGGGCCTCTCTGCCTCCTCCTCCCCAGAATCCTCCTTGTCTGGTAGTGCTGCCTCTTCTTCTTGTCTGGCTCCTGGCCAATCAGTGTCTTATCATCAACCAATAAGAAAACACGCATTAACTTCATACATAAGGACATCCCCCATCAGTGTCTCTCTCGCCTCCCCTCCCCCCTCCCTCTCTCCAGGTAGGGTCTCAGGTTTCTCAAGATGCTTTCAGATTTGCTATGTGACCCGTAGCCAAGGGTGACCTTGAAGTCCTGATCCTCCTGTCCCCACCTCTGAATGCTGGTCTTACAGATGTGTCCATCACACTCAGCGTATTTGCATGTGAGCTTCTTGTGTGGCCGCTCTTGTGAAGACAGTGTGGTGGTATCACCAACCACACCAACAGCTGGTCTTCCTTGCTGGCCATTCCGAATCCAGTTCCCTCTTGCTGAGGAAACCTTCACTCACGCCAATCAACCAGGATACACATGGGCTGCAGTTTTTCATGCCAGTGCATGTGTGCAAGACAGCAGTGTGCGCCAGTGCATGTGTGCAAGACACCAGTGTGCACCAGGGCGCACCGATGCATGTGTGCAAGACAGCAGTGTGCATGTGTGCGAGACAGCAGTGTGCATGTGTGCGAGACAGCAGTGTGCATTTGTGCGAGACAGCGTGTGCATGTGTGCGAGACAGCAGTGTGCATGTGTGCGAGACAGCAGTGTGCGCAGTGCATGAGGTCATGGCTCCGGGCCTTGCTTGGCTCACCCGGGCCCCCTCAGATGCCACCACTGCTCTCTTCCCTGAGGACAGATGTCACTGACTGTTCCTGCTGCTGCTCACTGTGACAGTGCAGGTAGAGACATGCTCTAAACTGTGTGGTGCTGACCCCAGCAGTTAAAGGACATCTTCAGCTACAGATCTAGGAGAAAGCCAGCACAGGCTGGAGGAGACCTGTGTCAGACGGGCATATAAAAAGGAGCCCTGTTTCGTGGGGTGTCACTCCCGGTTGCCCTGCAAGCCACCAGTCTTGTACAGTGGGCCACGGTTTCGTTAGCATTAGTTCCAGAGGGTGGCACTCTTGAGGCATGTGATGTGTGGTAGGCACACGTTGGGCAAGCGCCTCCCTGCCTCCCCTAGCTGTGGTGGAAGGTCAGCGGCTGCAGTAGCAAGAGTCCCCGTGCCCCGCTGACTCCACTCTGCTTTGCAGTTTGTGACCAGCTGCTCCAGACCCCCACTCCTAGGATTTGCCTACCTCAAGCCTCCCTTCTCCATCCGCTGTGTGGAAGTGTCAGATGACCAGGTAACCACGGCCACGCTCCTTTCGTTCCTTCTGTCCCTTCCCTGCTGCCCAGTTCTCTGCTGGGCCCATCATGTCCTCCATACCCCTGCCTACATGGCTCTCGGCATGAAAGCCACCCGTGGCGGGCACTGCAGACCCAGCCAGGGTGGGCTGATGGCACTCTTTCTCTGAGGTCCCTTCTTGGGGAAGGCCTCAGGGAGTGTGCGATTGGGATGCTGTTTTCATGGCTGCGGATCTGGGAAGGTTCAAGGTCCAAGAGGCAGGGTTGGAGGGGGTGAGGCTCAGGATAAGGGCAAATGCAGGTGTGCTCCCCAGCTCCTCCCCTGCTGCCCCCCCACACACACCCCGGCAAGCTGCCTGTTCCTGCTGGTTAAAGGAGAATGTCCTAGGATTCATGTGCCCGGTGTGTTCCCACGCTGACCCTGGTGTTGCTCAGATGTGCCTGCCTGCCCTGCTGGTCTCAGCGAGTCCCCGCCTACAACCTCTCTTCAGGCTACACTCCCTTCAGTCAGACACTAGATGGTCCTCCACCTCCAGACTTAGGGAAAAATTAGCCAAGTGCTTGTCAGCCATGGGCCATGGTACTTGTAGTCAGAGAAGGGTGTTAGGTGACTTTAGTTAGCTGATAAGTGTCCGTTAGCCCCTAGTCTGAGGTTGTTATAAATTTAAAAGGGGCTGGAGAGAGAGAGAAGATGCAGACACCCGGGGCAGAGTTCAGGTGGAGGGGTTTTTATTCAGGGAAAAGAATCATAAAAAGGGGGAAAGGGAGAGGGGACAGGAGCAGCGAGGGGGGGATGGGAGGGGATGGGAGGGGGCAGGGCCCCTTTAAAAGGGAACGCAGTGAATGTGCACAGGCGGTGCCCTCAGTGGCTGCAGCTGAGGGTGAATCCTGTCAGAACCCCAAGGGCAGGCCGGTACAGATGCCTGAATACTAACAGGAAACCTAGCACAGGACTCGCGTTCGAGTGCTCAGAGCAGCAGGAGATCCCTTCAGCTGCTCAGGCACTGTCCTGAGCTGGGCTTCACCTGTGTGCACCTGCTCAGGTGCCCTCTGACCCGCAGCTGTGGTGTGTGTTTGCAGGACACTGGGGACACCCTGGGAAGTGTGCTCAGGGGCTTCTTCACCATCCGCAAGCGGGAGCCAGGTGGACGTCTGCCCACGTCTTCCACTTGCTTCAACCTGCTCAAGCTGCCCAACTACAGCAAGAAAAGTGTCCTCCGAGAGAAACTGCGCTACGCCATCAGCATGAACACAGGATTTGAGCTCTCCTAGCCCAGCCCCAGTCCGATCTTACCCACCTGCCCTCTAGAGCACCCAGAGGACGGAGCCCTCAGGCTCCTGGAGGTGACATGCTCCCAGGGGTGTGGCCAGCCTACTTGAGTCCTCAGACACTCTCAATAGCCATGAGATGCCCAGGTGTGGGATGCTGTGTAGCATGCTCAGCGTGCTGGGGAGTGCTGTTGAAATGAGCCCCTGGTTATCCCCCTGTGCGCCCCTTCCTGCCTTCTAGCAGAGGGGCTCCCAGTGGTTCTGTGAGGCTTTCTTCCTCTGCCCTCTGAGTACACACAGCCTGTGCCTGTGGGCTCCTCCTTCCGTTCTGAAAACTCAGGTAAGGCCTCGTCGCCAAGCCTCTATGCACGGCAGAGTCCCTGCCTCTACCCTGCCCACAGCAGCCTCTTCCCAGGCCATCAAAGCCAGCTCATGCCGGGGAGGCTGCCCAGCACAGTTCAGGGTCTCCTACAGGGGAGCAGGTGTCCCACACCTCAACCCTCCCTCCCAAGTCCTCAGCAGGCCATGCAGTCAGGGGACCCTTGCTGTCAGGCCCTGCCCTGTGCATTGGTACCCTAGCTTAGGACAGAAACTTGCCACCCTGGAGAGCTGAGCTGCCCCATTTCTGAGTACCCAGAGCCTACTGGCTCTGCGTGCCTGCTCTCCTCGTCACCTTACAGAGAAACACAAGAGCTACAGCATCTGTCACCTGGGCCGTGCTTTGTTCCAGGAACTGCAAAGCCGGTCCCGTCCCATGCACAGGGGCCCTTCTGCACTGAGAGGCCTCGCAGGCTGAGGTGTGTCCAAACGCCTTGGCCGCCGCCGTTGGCTGCGCTCCGTTTCGGACTTCATTCTGTTTTCCCACCTATCGTGCTCCTGGGCCCTCCTTTCCCCTTTTATCATAAGAACTTTCTCGAGGTTCTGGATGCTGAGGCAGAGGCTCTGGGCTCAGTGTCTCTTGTCTCATCAAGTTCTTACACCCTCCACCCTGGTAGAGGCCAGGAGCCCTGGTCTCTTCTCCACTCTGTGGAGCCAGCTTAGGGCTAATAGCGTTCACAGCAAGTAAACACCTTCCATCAGGAACCTGTACGGGAAAGTGGGCGTGTCCTGTTCCCACTTCAGCAAGAAGCTATGGCTTGAAGCGTGGAAGGGTGGCAAGGTCCTTGGAAGATGTCTGGCGCCATGTGTGTCCTCAGCTTGCCCACAGGTCCCTGTGCCCTGTGCACCAATAACACGGAGCCTGAGAATTACAACAGGGCCATGGGGAGTGGGTCTCCCCAATATCAACGTGACCTGTTTGATTTTGACCTAGGGTTGCTGTAGTTCACTTCAAGCCTGCTTCCCAGAAGTTGCAATGTCATACTATCCAAGCGCCAAGTCTGTCTTAGCTGGTGGTCACTGGCACCCTGTTGGCTCCAAAGTGGGAGTGGGACCTCTGTTTTGTAGGTAACTTGTGGACTAAGATATGTCAGGGCTCTATTAAATTTGTACTTGAGCATATGGTGGCTGCTCCGGTTTGTACTCAGCCGTGTACCGGGGTAGCTCAGGCCGCAAAAGGCACCCACAGTGGCCAGAAGACAGAGCTGAGTTATGGGCAGTTATGACATGTGCCCGGTTTGTTTTCAGAGCTGACATTTGTCTCCCTGTGCCCTGTTTTTATAGGAAGTGGCACCAGGATTGCATGCATAGCTTTGAAGTTTATGATTTACACGGTACCTACAAAAGCCACCTTGTTTGATATGGAGAGGCCAAATAACTCATACATGCCTCTTGCTTGGGATGTCTCCTGACACCCCAGTGTCCCCACTAACAGAAAAATGCTGCAAAGGCCCCACGATGTGTCACGTGCCTGCAGTGTGATTTACACCCACATAGAACTAAAGCCTGGCTCTGGCGTAGTTTCTAGAACTGAAGTCAGTGCAAACAGCTACCCTGTTGATGAGGGAAGCAAGCAGGATTTTGTTTGGTGTGCTGACGGGACCTGTGCGTGCGAATGAACATTTAGATGAAGTCTAAAACACCCTGGCCACTGTGGCTTTGTCCTTCAGCTGTGACGATCAAGCTGACACTCCTAACGTCTGGCCGGTGGCTGGCCAGTGCACTCTAGTTTGGGCGTGTACTATGGAGCCCCCGCTGCTTGAACGCTGGGCTCACAGGGTCGTGTCCCTGGGACCTTGCATTTCCCGGGCTGCCTGCGTGACTGGAAAGAGATGTGTGTGTGGATTGTGGAGTCAGACTCCTGGCCCGAGTCCTGTGAGCCCATTCCACAACTATTTCTGGGAGACTCTGGAGATGTCTGGGGCCTGGGCCTGGCTTAGGATTAGTTTCTAGGTGGCAGTCTACTTCTCACCCGACAACTTCAGAAGTTAAGGCTGAACCAGGCAGAGTGGCACGTGCCTGTAATCCCAGAGCCTGGGAGCCTGAGACAGGCAGGGTTAAATGTCCAAGGCCAGTCAGCCAGCGATAAACAACAGAAGTGGGCTCAAGCCACAAGAAAACAAAACAACAGAAAACCAAGAAGCCAAGACTACCCACAGGCCTGACGAGGCTCTCCAGCCAGGCTTCCAGAGCGACTTGTGTCCCTCACAGAGTGGACAGTGGGTAAAGGTCACCTGCCATGTCTTCATGCAGTGTACACAGGCTGGAGACTCGTGTGTGTTGGACAGTGCCTTAGCACGGGGCCTGGCCTGAGGCGTTTGCACACCTGTGCGTCCCACGCCAGTGTTAAGCCAATGTTGGAGAGGCTGCATCAGGGCCTAGGACAGGCCAGCGGTCCCCGGCACTTGGCACATGGGTCCTAATGAAATAATCTCACTGTGGCCATGGCAGCCAGCACTGTGACAAGCATATGTGTAACAGATGGAGTCGTCTGGGAACCTGGGCTGGGGACTTAACCATCCATCCAGGGCTCATGTCCCAGCTCTGCCTCCCACCAACTGGGAGTACAGGCCAAGTCCCCTGGCTGCAGTCCCTCCCCGCCCCCAACCCAGGACAGCAGAGAGCAGGCCTGAGACCCGGATCTGTACCACCTGGGGACAGCCAGTGACTCCTGGTGGCATTCTCTCTGGAGTTCCTTTTTCCTTTAAACTCCTGGGTAGGAGCATTCACTGATAACAGCAGACATCCCAGAGGTTTGCTGCTGGGCCAAACACAATGCCGGTGGCCCTGGGCCAGAGCCCCGGCCGCAACCCTGGCTCCCACCCCACTCACCAGACAGCCCTCCTGGGTTGGGTGCTGTGGCTGCTTTCCCTCATCCTTCCCTTAGACCCTGAGGAGGGGGGAGACCTGGGGAGAGGATGTCAGGTGCAGGTGGTTTGACAAGGACAAGGCTATGGCTCAAGCAGACAGACTAGAACGCTGACCCTGGCCCCAGACATTACTCGGGTCATACAGCTGGCCCTGGCCATGTCTAACCCTCGGCTTCACTCCACACTCATGCCTGCGGGCAAGGTCCGTCAGCAGCCACTAGCTGTGGGTGCTCAGCCACCTTGCTTGAGCCTCACTCAGTCTCCTCATCTGATAGAATGGAACAATCTTAGCCGTTTGCACTGTGGTACACGCTGGTAGCCCAAGCTACCAGCCTGGTGTCTGCAGTCATGGGGCAGACCATGCCCAGGCTCCATGGAGGAGGGAGGGGGAGGGCGACCGTGTGAAGGTGAGACGTGGTGGGCCATACAGCCCTGTCGGTCCAGGGACAAGTGTGGGCACCGCACGCCAAATGGTGATGGCTAAGGCTGTCGGTACTGCCCTACCCACTGCACAGCCTCTGCAAGCCAGGTTGCTGCAGATCCACGCAGGGGCGTTAGGAATCGGGTGTAGCTTGCCTTATTTTACCAATGTCTGTGCAGGTGAATCGGCCCTGGCGTCACCGCCTGGACGAGAGGCTGTGCTGTGTGGGGAGCCCGGGCACAGGGCTCAGGCTGTCTCCCACACTGGGATTTTTAAAGCCAGTGGGGGCAAAGCCAGACTTGGGGGAGAAGTCCCTGGGGAGGCAGGGCAGGGCCAGAGGCCAACGTGGCGCTGCTCTGCCCACTGGATATCTGCCATCCTTAGGCACCTGCCAGGCATATCTGCATCCATGATCCTTTGCTCATAGTGGCTCCCATGAACTCCGCAGCCTCCTGTCCCACACAGCACATACTCCCTGTATGTGCTGTGGGGGCTTTGGTGTATGGTTTTGTCACTGGCCCAGATGGTGCCAGATGGGCTGAGCAGCTGCTCGTTGTCCCAGCCGAGAGCTGGCTGTAAGCCTGATGCACTCATTCACCTAACAGGTCCAGAGAGCCTCTGTGCCTCAGGCTGGGGTGGATTATTACAGCCATGAGCAGTGGGCACTGCCCCTACTGCAAGGAGCTGCAACCAACCCCCAAAAAAGAAGTGTGGCGATGCGTGCCCTGGCCACTCCGTCCAGTGCCCTGTGCCTCCCTGTCCTGATGCCCACTTAACAGCTGGGAAGACTGAGGTTCAGGAACTGTCACCCCGGTATTCCGGGTCCGAACACTGGTGTGCCACACCTCAAAGCCCTCATCAGGGCCGAGTGGGCTGAGAGATTGCAGAAGCCTCTAGGCAAAGCTAAAGGGCTGCTCTGTCCCTGGTCTGAGGCTGCTTCCTGTACCAATCCCCTTGAAGGTTTCTGGAGTCGACACTCACACCTGTGTTGAGGATGTTCCTACAGTGAGGGCTCCTGGGTCCTGTAAATGCAGAGAAGGTGAAGGCCCGGAGGAGCAGCTGGCCCCCACTTCCTAGCCAGAGGGCAGCACTAGAGGTAGGTGTGTCACCCAAGCCAGCTAGCTGTCAACTGCCCACCCGGCCCCCCATAGATTAAACTGGCCACACATCACTTTCTGCTGGGTTAGCATCTCAGAAAATGATCCGGCTATCTCATGGCCATATGAGCATCACAGAGTGTACTCACAGAGCTGTGACGTCACAGGTCTGCCTCTGTCAGAGACCAGACTCTTCATTGTGCACTGTGCAGCCTTCCATCATTGGCTCCTCCCTCCTCCTGGGGGTGGGGGGGGTAGGGGGATTAGAATAATCATAGAGTCCTGTTCCCTGAAATTATCCAGTTTGTTGCCCCTCCCCCCAAGTCACCTGGCTTGAACCAGAAGCCCTGCTCCTCCATGGCCTGCCTGTCGCCCAGCAGCCAGGTAACCTACACAGAAGTTTCCTTCACGACCTTTGGCTGCAGGACTCTGCAACCCCCTAAGTCCCCAAATGGCCCTGAACCAAAATGTTTGCCCGACCTAAATTCAGCCACCTTCCAGAAGAGCTGGCACTGGTTCCTCACCCCACTGGGCTCGGCACGGCACGACGACGACGGGGGGGGGGGGGGGCCTGAGGGACAAAGCAGCAGAAGGGAAGGTTCTAGAACTTAGGGAGCGGTGGCTCGGGAAGGCAAGGGCTGGAGGGGTGGAGCTGTTGCAGCATCTCTCACTGACTTTAATCTTCAATTTTCATGCTTTAATATGAAATCTAATTGCAGATGCTGAATTACGGTGGGGAGCTCATCCGGGCTGACTAATTAATTAGTCAGATTTATAAGCATTTGACTCTTAGAGATCTATGGCCCTGATTTGTCACCCCAAAGCTCTTGGAATTTTTTCCTCTGCTGGCAGTTCTCACGGGGTGTGGAGAATCACTTTGAGGGGCTGCTCTGGAGGATTGCACCTCCTTACCAAGTCTCCCCTCCTCTGAGACCAGTGAGGGATTTACCCTAAGAATGACAAGTACCAAAGCACCCAGTCTCTTACTGTGGACCTTGATGAGGCCATGGCAGACATTACTAATAGATTTCCAAATTCCTTTCTGTAGAACCCGGCCTCCTAGCTCAGGCTTCTTCCTTGTAACTGGCAATCCACTGAATTAGGGGTCAGCCCCTCTGCTCACAGCAGCACAGAGAAGGGAACAGCCTGCTGCTGAGGGCTGGCACTTGCTGACTATGGTATGTTAGCCTCATTTTTCCTCTGTCCAGAGGCGACTATGCTGACCGTTCAGGATGTAAAGTGTGGGATAATAAATATAGAAGTTCTTAGTGTCCTCTTGAGGTCTGGACAAATGAAAGACGCTGTTCCAGGAAGAGGAGGCAGATGCTTCTGGCCGAGATGGTGGTGGAGACTCGGCCAGTGAGTCCCTCAAGAAGGGTTGGGGACACTCTCTTTCCTCCTCACTTGCTCTGGAGTACAAGTCTACACACAGGCTGGACGGCAGCCAGCCAACTGTCCATGGCAGGAAGGTACAGCACGCATACCCTAGACAGGGAACCCATGGTGGTTTGAATAAGAACGGCCCAGCGGGCTCACAGGTTTGCATGCTTGGACACCATGGAGTGACACTACTTGAAAGGATTAAGAGACATGGCCTTGTTGGAGGACTTAAGCTTTGAAGTTTCAACAGCCGGTGCCAAACCCAGAGTCCCTCTTGGCCTGTGGATCCTGCACGATGCCATGTTCCCACTATGATGACAATGGACTAAACCTCTGACACTGTAAGTAAACCCT